AATAATAGTACGTACATTTATCTTTTTATTTCTACTTAATGCATGTTTATAATGTTTTTAACTTTATAAAGTTTGAGACACAAACACACAAACTTTCCCACCTGTTTAAAATGACAAAGAGCACTCTGATTGGCTTACACCAACCAATCAGTGTTCTTAGTCTAATTGCAGGGTGGGGGAAGGCTTTATAAGCCTTCCTCCGCCCTGCCGAGTTTAGTCTGCACAGAGCCCTCCATGGGTGGAGATGGATTTTTAATTTTTTTTCGTCAGGTTTTTTCCTTTTTCGTTGGGTTGTTTTTTGCGCTCTGATTTTTTTATTTTAAAGTGCTTCGGTTATTATGGATTTTTATTTGGTAATTTTTGGGGCTGAAAAATGAAGATTTTAGAAGAAAGAAGACACCAAAGGGTAAGTTTTATTTTAATTTACAGGTTAGTAATTTTATTCCCTCACTATTTTCATGGTGAGAGGGGTAGGTAGGGGATAACTTTTTTTATTTGGGTGGGGGGGTGGGGGGCTTGGGGACCTGTAGTCACCTTGGAAGGGGGGGGGAGGAGGATTTTCATTTAGGGCCCCTGTATTGGCACCCTCAGCATCAAATTGTCAAAACTGCCGTTTAGTGAATCCTCCCCTCTCGCAATAATACAAACTCCATTCGCATAGACTCCAATCGTACGAACTGCAAGCAGGGGAATGCGCTAACCTCCCGAACGGGATACTCCAACTCTCGAGCGATAAACCCACGAATCGCCGCTAACAGCCGAATCACTATATCATCCAAGCGGCTTACGGTTCCACTAATCAGTCGCTATTCGTGTAGTAAATCCCCCCCAATAACGAGACCAAGCTCCGCATTGAGGGTAAAACAAGAACTGGCTTTACTGTGGGCTACCCGCCCGTATTTATGCAGGTCTCCCACTTGGTGGACACTTCCCTAGGGGACCTAATGGGAGACTGTAATGGCAGACAGACATTTAGCATGTTAGGACACACAGGCACATAATATTCCCAGCATGCATCATGGTTTCCTCCCCTCTGCCCTGGAGATAATTGAGAAGTAATTCAATTATCTCCCAGGATAGAGGCAAATCGCCATTTTAGATGAAACATAAAAACCACATAAAAATACATAATTACACAACTACCAAATATATTCCATTCGTGCAACGTATCCCCAGATAGCCTGGATCTGAGTGCATATTCTTAGCGAATAGCGCTCAGATCCCATCGCCATGGAGTCAAAGTCTTTTACAGTCTTTCGGTATGCGATTGACTCCATGGGAAGGCTATCTGGGTTAAGTCCATTCGTGTAGTGCAAACTCCCGAACGGCCGGTGTTCGCATGCCTTTGTCGACTGAGAAGGGCGGTCTGTGGATTTAGCGGTGTTCGGCAGAAAAAGTGTCCGTTTTCAGTTCCATAGAATCTCCGCCGAACACCGCTGGTCTTTCGCATGGTTTAAAATGGCCGCCGCCTTGTGGTCGACATACGAACGACGACCACCCTGTATTCGGTTATAATTGAGAGGTGTCTGCGGTTAACCACAATGTTCTAACTGGGATCAAGAGGTTAACCAGCTGCACACTTCTCTCCTGGGTGGCCGTCCGTTCAGTAAGTTCATTCGGTAAAAAAGTCAAAAAAACGAACAGGGGCATACGGACAGGTAATTCCACGAAAAGAGGCAAAACAGATGAACCAGCAATTTAGGTCTATACAGCTGGATCTGTCACAGCCCCCACCCACCGCTCAGGGGTGGAGGCCGGGTGGGAGGACAGTAGATTCCCCCCCCTCCTCATTCTTTATTTAGGGCCCTCACCTGCCGCGCAGGGGTGGAGGCCAGGTGGGAGAACAGTAGGTCCCCCCCTCATTCTTATTTAGGGCCCCCACCTACTGCTCAGGGGTGAGGGATGGGGGGAGGATAGTAGGGCCCCCATCCACTGCTCAGGGGTGGGGGCCAGGGGGAGGATAGTAGGTCCCCTCTCATTGTTATGTAGGGCCCCCACCCGCTGCGCAGGGATGGGGGCCAAGGGGAGGACAGTAGGTCCCACCCCCTCATTGTTATTTAGGGCCCCCATCTGCCACTCCGGTTAACCAGCAGCACACTTCTCTCCTGGGTGGCCATCCGTTCGGTAAGTTAATTCGGTAAAAAAGTCAAATAAACTAACAGGGGCATACGGACTGGTAATTCCACGAAAAGAGGCAAAACAGACGAACCAGCAATTTTAGTCTATACAGATGGATCTGTCACAGCCCCCACCCACCGCTCAGGGGTGGAGGCCGGGTGGGAGGACAGTAGTTCCCCCCCTCATTCTTATTTAGGGCCCCCACCTACCACTCAAGGGTGGGGGCCAGGGGGGAAGATAGTGGGTCCCCCCTCATTATGTCCGGCCCCCACCCACTGCGCAGGGAAGGGGGGGGAGTACAGTAGGTCCCCCTCCCCTCATTGATATTTAGGGCCCCCACCCGCCGCGCAGGGGTGGAGGCCGGGTGGGAGGACAGTAGGTCCCCCCTCATTCTTATTTAGGGCCCTCACCTACTGCTCAGGGGTGAGGGATGGGGGGAGGACAGTAGGTCCCACCCCCCTCATTGTTATTTAGGGCCCCCACCCACCGTGCAGTGGTGGGGGCAGGACAGGACAGTAGATCTCCCCCTCCTCATTGTTATTTAGGGCCCCCACCCGCCACTCGGGTAGGGGCCGGGGGGGGGAGGACAATAATTTCTCCCCCCCTTATTTTACTTTAGGGCCCCCACTCGCTGTTCAGGGGTGGGGGCCAATAGGTTTTTATTTTTTTTTACAATGAGCACCCGATAAGAACCATTCGGCCCATCTAGTCTGCCCAATTTTTTAAATACTTTCATTAGTCCCTAGTCTTATCTTATAGTTAGGATAGCCTTATGCCTATCCCACGCGTACTTAAACTCCTTTACTGTGTTAACCTCTACCACTTCAGCTTGAAGGCTATTCCATGCATCCACTACCCTCTCAGTAATGTAATACTTCCTGATATTTTTAAACCTTTGTCCCTCTAATTTAAGACTATGTCCTCTTGTTGTAGTAGTTTTTTCTTCTTTTAAATATTGTCTCCTTTACGGTGTTGATTCCCTTTATGTATTTAAATGTTTCTATCATATCCCCCCCTGTCTCGTCTTTCCTCCAAGCTATACATGTTAAGATCCTTTAACCTTTCCTGGTATGTTTTATCCTGCAATCCATGAACCAGTTTAGTAGCCCTCCTATGAACGCTCTCTAATGTATCAATATCCTTCTGAAGATACGGTCTCCAGTACTGCGTACAATACTCCAAGTGAGGTCTCACCAGTGTTTTGTACAATGGCATGAGCACTTTCTACTGCTTATAACTCTCCCTATACAACCAAGCATTCTGCTAGCATTTCCTGCTGCTCTATTACATTGTCTGCCTACCTTTAAGTCATCAGACATAATCACCCCTAAATCCCTTTCCTCAGATGTTGAGGTTAGGACTCTATCAAATATTCTGTACTCTGTCCTTGGGTTTTTACATCCAAGATGCATTATCTTGCACTTATCCACATTAAATGTCAGTTGCCACAATTCTGACCATTTTTCTAGTTTACCTAAATCATTTGTCATTTGGCTTATCCCTCCTGGAACATCAACCCTGTTACATATCTTAGTATCATCAGCAAAAAGACATACCTTACCATCAAGACCTTCTGCAATATCACTAATAAAAATATTAAAGAGAATGGGTCCAAGTACAGATCCCTGAGGTACCCCACTGGTGACAAGTCCAAGCTTCAAATATATTCCATTAACTACAACCCTCTGTTGCCTGTCACTCAGCCACTGCCTTACCCATTCAACAATATTGGAATCCAAACTTAAAGATTGCAATTTATTGATAAGCCTTTTATGTGCAACAGTGTCAAAAGCCTTACTGAAATCTAGGTAAGCAATGTCTACTGCACCACCCTGATCTATTATTGTAGTTACCCAATCAAAAAAATCTATAAGATTAGTTTGGCATGATCTCCCTGAAGTAAACCCATGTTGTCTCTGATCTTGAAATCCATGTGTTTTTAGATGTTCAACAATCCTATCCTTTAACATGGTTTCCATCACTTTCCCCACTACTGAAGTAAGGCTTACTGGCCTATAGTTGCCCGACTCCTCCCTATTACCTTTCTTGTAAATGGGCACAACATTCGCTAACTTCCAATCTTCTGGGACTACTCCTGTTAACAATGATTGGTTAAATAAATCTGTTAATGGTTTTGCTAGTACACCACTAAGCTCTTTTAATAGCTTTGGGTGTATTCCATCAGGCCCCATTGACTTATTTGTCTTTACTTTTAACAGTTGAAGTAGAACTTCTTCCTCTGTAAACTCACGTGTAATAAATGACTCATTTATCCTTTTTCCTAACTGAGGTCCCTTTCCTTCATTTTCATCTGTAAATACAGAACAAAAATATTCATTGAGTCAGTCAGCTAGACCTTTATCCTCTTCTACATACCTTCCTTCTTTTGTTTTTAATCTAACTAATCCTTGTTTTACTTTTCTTTTCTCATTTATGTATCTAAAAAAGGTTGTCCCCTTTTTTTTTTTTTTTTACTGACTGCTATTTTCATGTTCCCCAATGTTGTTCCCCAAATAAAACCAGGAACAGATTCCTTGTTTATATATTTGTATAGTTATTGTTACTTATCACTGGGGAAGCAAAGTCTTTTTGCAGTTCAAGGAGCACTATAGGGTTAGGAACACAAACATGTATTCCTGACCCTATGGTGTTAACGCCACCTTTTAGCCCCCCCCTGGGCCCCTCATGCCTCCCTAAATATAGTAAAATCTTACATTTATTCAAGCCCGAAGCTGCAGGCTTTGTCCCGGTTTCCTTTTGACCTGCCCACTGCCATCATCAGAAGTGGTAGCCTGATCCAATCACAGTGCTTCCCCATAGGATTGGCTGAGACTGACAAAGAGGCAGATCAGGGGCAGAGCCAGCATGATTCAAACACAGCCCTGGCCAATCAGCATCTCCTCATAGAGATGAATTGAATCAATGAATCTCTATGAGGAATGTTCAGTGTCTGCATGCAGAGGGAGGAGACACTGAATGTTTGGATGCATTTTAGGCAGCCATGACCCAGGAAGGATCTCTAACAGCCATCTGAGGAGTGGCCAGTGAAGTTATCACTAGGCTGTAATGTAAACACTGCATTTTCTCTGAAAAGACAGTGTTTACAGCAAAAAGCCTGAAGGTAATGATTCTACTCACCAGAACAAATTCAATAAGCTGTAGTTCTGGTGACTACAGTTTCCCTTTAAACATCTAGCCTGAAATTAGAGCATGGGATAGAGCCAGGCTGGCCTGACCAAACCTGGGAATAAAATATAGGACAGCGGGATCATGTGAAGTGATAGAACAGGTAAGTATAAACCCAAATAATGCTCAAACACATTCTGCATACAACTCTTTATTAACTCGTCTTGTTCAGGATTTAGTCTTTAGATTTTGTTGAAAGCAGCGATGTCCACACTCTGAACCTGTGAAAACAAAAGCAAGATTAAGAGCAAGGACTCGCAGCTATTAAAGAGTAAAACTCAATTCTTTTACAGAGTGAGTTCGATTCAAATACGGACCAAGACAACATACAAACAAAACCCAAAGCCATGTTTACAAGAACTTCTAAAGATAAACCATAAGAGTATTTTGTGCAATAGATATTAAGGTATTTAAACATGAGCACAACTACCAGTGATTATCCCTTGAGAACTCCCATTGACCTCCATTCTGTAAACAAGTTAGTGCGTGATAATGTACAAGATGAGAAGACGGCAGGACTGAGGGAACTCTCCTTTTACCAGAAGCCACCGTGGGAATCTATACATTTACCCTCCTCCATGCAACTGATCCCTACATACATTCAGATTCACCCTTCATTATGACAAAGCTTAACCTCACAAGCTCTGCTACCTTGCCCACATGCACAGGATAGCAATCCAATACATCCCGACTAAAAACTTACATAGTCCTCGAACTTGGTGATCTCCTCCTCAAGTATATCAGTTCCAACCTTGTCATCTTCCACCACACACTGGATCTGAAGCTTTTTTATACCATAACCAACTGGGACTAATTTGGAGGAACCCCACAACAGGCCGTCCATCTGAACAGACCTCACACACTCCTCCAGCTTTGCCATGTCTGTCTCATCATCCCACTGCAAACAGGAAATAAGGTTATGCAGGTTCGTCAACAACAGGAAAACAGTGGAACCACACAGGTAGCTTTGGGTTACATTTGGGTTATTTGGATATTTTAGCCTGATTTTTGTCATTTGTTTGGAACTATAATTAACTGTTTAATTAATAAACCCTTCCAGCAAAACGTACAGATTAATAACCCGAAGCCGTCCATACTCTATAAAACCCTGTTTATTCTATACCCCAGAGCGGATCTTAGGACAGCTAGATTACAGAACTAATGGATTAGTAGTTATCAAACTGTTTTACATTTATTTTGGTGCAATGTATTATTTTGCCCCCCCTCCCCTCTATTAGGAATTGGTTCTTTTTAGAAACCGATTTTTCAGTCACTTTCAAGATCTCCCCTTCTAGCTGGAGCAGGCACTCCTGAAAGTCTGTACTGGTGACAGGAAAAACAAAAAACACACCTTAGACACTAATGCAGGCTTCCCCAAACTCTGGCCCTCCAGATATTGCTGAACTACAACTCCCATGATTCTCAGCCTATTTCACTTAATAGAATCATGGGAGTTGTAGTTAAGCAACATCAGGAGGGCTGGAGTTTGGGGAAGCCTGCTATAAGGTGTTCTTTTTGGAAACACCTTAGACACACCCAGGTAATCCCTAAATCCTGGACTTGTAGGGGGTCCTTGAGGACTGGGTTGAGAACCCCTGCTCTAGAGGCTGTCAGGGAGACAGCCACTAGAGGTTGGATTAACCCTGCAGTGTAAACATAGTTTATCTGAAACTTCTATGTTTTCAGCTGCAGGGTTACAACTAGCGGGACGTGGCACCCAGACCACTTAATTTAGCTGAAGTAGTCTCGGTGGCTATAGTGGTCCTTTAATGGGACAATTGATAAAGTCAGAATTCTCAATCCTGTGTAGGGAGGATCTGAGTGCTGGATATTTTATTTCTTTACAGCATTATTTTGATCTTGTAAAATCCAGTTATTGCTGGCATATATTGCTATTTTTACCCTTTACCTGGCTAACCGCTTGCTGGAAGATCCAGCTGCAGACAGAATCCAATTGCGCACTCACCGGTTTGACATCCAGCAAGATTGAGGACTTTGCAATGATTCCAGGCTTCTTTGATTTCTTCTCCGCATACTGACGTAACCTTTCCTCTTTGACCTTGACTGCTTCTGCATCTTCCTCTTCGTCACTTCCAAAGAGGTCAATATCATCATCATCTTCCTCTTTCTTTTTTGGGGCTTCAGCAACAGGGGCAACTTTGACCTCTTCTGGGGCAGGGAGCTAAACAGGAGAATAAAGTCACTTCAAACATAGGGGCATCGAGAGAGCACACTAGCAGAGCACTCCAAGTACTATAACCACTACAGCTCCTCATAACATATGGAGAGTTTGGTTTCAGTTCAGCTAACTTGTAGCAGTTTGACAAACAGAGCTCAACACCCAAGGTTTGGCTTCTCACCTGCCTGATGAGGAATTTTTCTGCCAACGTTTGGCTTTGGTAAATAACATACAGGCAGCTGACGGCAGTTTTAGTTACCGTATCCTACAGGTAGAAGAGTTAATGTACCTTGCAGACAAAAGGTGCAGGTCTGGGCTGATCTGAGGTAGCAGACTTCTCCAGTGTATCGACCCGGCTCTCTAACGCAGAGATAGCAAGCAGCAGATCTTTCACCACTAAGAGGAGAGAGAGAGAGCTATTTTACTAAATGCTTTACAGCTCTGTTTTGAGAGCAGGAAAAGTATATAAATATAGTAAAGGGAAGAAGGGGGGGGGGGGAAGAGAATAACCACCAAATCTTATTAGATATACTGAGTGAAAATATATATAGATTTACATGTCTGAATATAACTGGAGCAGTAAAATGAATTTAGATTTGCTACGCTTAGAGTCCAGGAGAGTAGGAGGGATATAAAGAGCACGAGGAGGGTGGAAGCTGCCACACAGGACACGGCCCACCAAGAGATAAAGCTGTAAGCAGCAATGCCGCGTAATGTTCATCACCTTTATGCAGGTTCTGATTTTCGTGTTCCAAGGTAGAAACCCGAGACAGGAGCTCACTGTTGTCTCCACCGCTTGCGGGTGCTGCAGCCGTGCTCTGAGGAGGAAGGAAAAAATACACAGAAAGAAGTAAAGAATAAGAGAAGTGCGGTGCCACGTTCTTAAGCAGCTGCGGCTACTCCCAGCCAGGAGCAGGTAAGTGAGCACCTGAGGCAGTCTACCAACATGCATGCGAGTGTGGGGAGGAAAGTGGTAGAAATTAAAAAGTTTATTTTTAAATCACAGGATAAGATGTCACAAGGCAAGCAGTCCATTAACCCTTTCATTGCCAGATACCTGTAAATATTTGCATTTTGGAACCATCTTGCAGCGAAGCTTAATTGGAAATAATTAATGCAAGGCCTGCTGTAAGAGCTCATTATGAAAAGCCAGCAGATCCCATGAAACGTAAGAAAATGTTAAATACAACTGCTCACCCAATAGAACAGCAGCTGTAGAAGAAGAAATCCGCAGCGGACCCAGTACATTGCAGACTGCCTGACAGTGAGCTATGTCTCCCAACTGCCAAAGCATTCAGCTTGTAACCTGTGTCTATAGCATGGGTGACCTGCTTCTAATCCCAGCATCCTGTTGGCTAGCGTTCAAGATCTCATCCTGAGTGTCAGTTTCAGGGTGTGTAAAGATAATGTCACTAGTACAAAGAGTAAGGGTATTTTAAAGAGGTTCAAGGGCTACCTGACAGCAAGGATGGTCTAACTGGCACTGAATGAATTACATACTGAGAAGGTACAGATGGGCACCCCCCAAGGATTGGTCAATATATCCAGGATTCAAGGAAACAAGTATCTAATGACAATACAGCTGACGATCATGAAGAATGAAACTTACAGTATGGGACCCTGATTGGCTCTGGGGCAGGGAAGGCGAGGCTTCTTTTGGGCTATGCAGGACATCCCTGAGCTAGAGGGGGAGAAATGTGGATTTGTTTAATGAAACGCCAGCGAGAGACAGGCAGCATGCACAGAAAGACATGCAGGCAAAAGGGATGGAGAAAAGGAAAGGCATGCAGCATTGGTTAATGGACTACAACGCAACAGAAAGGAGAGCAAAGTATCCCCCTCAGATTAAAATCAGGTAAGACATACTGATATAAAGAAGTAGATGGGTTTCAAAAGTCAAACTTAAAATGTCCTTTTATTTGTCCCAAAAGAGACACTGAACAATCAGCCCCCTACTACTCACCATTCACTGGCACTGGCACACTCTGGCCACAAGTGAAACTGTAGGCAGACAAAAAGAAAATCTCCAGGCACTCAAGGTGTTCAAGCCGCAGGCAGATTTAAAGGAAAGCAGCAAAATTTCGACCGGTTAGCTTGACAAAGACCTCTTAGAAGGTCAAGACATTGCTGCTCTTTTTTGTTCCATTAATTCTGCCTGCGGCTTGAACACTGTTTGCCTGATCGTTGTGGGATTGCTGGTCCTGCTCCAATGCACAGGATGTCTGCTGGGATTGAGTGCGGGCTCCTATCTTCTTCATTTTTCGTAACAAGTGAAACTGTAGTCTCCAATGCTCATCCTCTGAAGCTCCATGGAACAACCGGGGCTAGCAATCGTGCCCCCCCACTGCTGCTCCATGGCACAACGTGGGTTAGCAAGAGCCCCACTGCAGCTCCATGGCATAAATGAGATTAGCAATACCCCTTCTGCAGCTCCATGACAACCTGTGTTAGCAGTCCCCCCCTCTGCAGCTCCATGACAACCCAGGTTAGCAAATCCCCCCTCTGCAGCTCCATGACAACCCAGGTTAGCAAATCCCCCTGTGCAGCTCCATGACACAACCCAGTTAGCAAATCCCCCCTCTGCAGCTCCATGACACAACCCAGGTTAGCAAATCCCCCTCTGCAGCTCCATGGCACAACCTGGGTTAGCAAATCCCCCTCTGCAGCTCCATGGCAACCCAGTTAGCAAATCCCCCTGTGCAGCTCCATGACACAACCCAGTTAGCAAATCTCCCTGTGCAGCTCCATGACACAACCCAGTTAGCAAATCTCCCTGTGCAGCTCCATGACACAACCCAGTTAGCAAATCTCCCTGTGCAGCTCCATGACACAACCCAGTTAGAAAATCCCCCTCTGCCGCTCCATGGCACAATACCCCCCAGATCCCCTCTGCAGTTCCATGGCACAACCTGTGTCAGCAAGACCCCCCCTCTGCAGCTCCATGGCACAACCCAGGTTAGCAATACCCCCCTCTACCGTTCTATGGCACAACCTGTGTCAGCAAGACCCCACCTCAGCAGCTCCATGGCACAACCCAGGTATGCAATTCCCCCCTCTGCAGCTCCATTGCAAAACCCAGGTTAGAAATACCCCCGACCCCCCCCCTGCAGTTCCATGGCACAACCTGCGTCAGCAAGACCCCCTTCTGCAGCACCATGAGCACCCACCCTAACTGCCGTTCTTCAGCACAACACTTCTCAGCACCTTCTCCCCAAGTCCACTTGTTCCCAGCATGCTTTGTGCTACATCTTGCAATCTCCAGTTCCTGCACTAGCAGTCAAGTAGTCAATCAGCCCCACGGCTAGAAATATATACTCCAGAACCAACGCAATGTGAGCTATGTGAACACACAGTATTCTTAGTATTATCTGATCCATTCTCTAAATGAATGAAAGGGAGGCCAGCTTCCATTACTGACAGTGCACAGCTACACTGCCTTCCAGTACCTCAGTCTAACGGGGCATGGCCAATTGTGGAAGACAAAGGAGGAATCAGGGGATATAGTATTCTCTCTCAATGCAGACACACCCTCATCTGAAAATCTGAGGAAAAACCCATCGGAGGATCCCAGCGCATGCACACATTTTTATTGCACTGTAGAAGGATATGGTTTGCATTGAAAGTCATACTATATACAGAGCTCACACAGGTCTTCCCATAATTATCTTCATTCTATGAGCAACTTGCAGGTAACAGACTATGGAAGAAATAATGTAGCAAGTAACTTATCACAACCAATAATTCTAATCATAAGATTAAAAAACACACTATAACATGAATTGTGTTATTAACAAAGTAAAGCCACCTCTATCTGAATACAGGGCTTGAAATAGGTTATTTGTAGAGGAGGTAAGGGTTAAAAGCCATACCAGTGACAGGCAAGGAGAAATTGTGCAGATCCCAAACTATGTCCCAGCAGGGCTTTCATGTTACGGGTAAGGGGGGTCCAGAAACTCAGCCATAGGAACAGTCCAGGTACAGGGTTATCATAACTTCATCGGAATAAAGTTGTTATGTTGCAGGGAGGTCCCAGACTTATATTAAGAAGTTAAACTGTTAACGTCTGCTGCAGTTCGAGGCTTGAATCAACCAGATTCAAGCTACAAGCCATTGATAGGCTGGGTGACACATTGTTTCTAATTTGTTTTGAGAATGGAGAGCTACTGACAGGTGACTTCTCCAAGTCTGAGGTCTCCTGGTCAAGCCTTGGACTGCAACAGAAGTTGATGGGAGAGCTGATGGGCATCAGATTGAAGACTGAGGTTAAACCATTTGTTAACAATTTAACCCCTTGAGGCTGCCAGAGGATCTCCTCGCAGAACAACTTCTTCCGATTAAGTAGGATGAAATCCACCCCCTGACAAGGTAGAAGAATGCTTCCTTATCTGGGACACTCCAAAGAAGGCAAGCAATGCAAGATTTAACCCATGGAAGAACAACAAAGGACAAGCTGGTATTTTTGACTTCTCCAAAGCATCAATGAGCACAGTTTGATTTTAACAAAATGGAGAAATCCAACTAGGAACAAGGAAGGGGGCAACACATGATACAACCTCCAAGCAAGCCATGCAGGCTGAATTCCCAGGGCCCACTTCAAACATTGCAAATTAAAAGTCGGTTTTGCTGCTAAAGGGAGGTAAAGTGGCGGTTTAATGAAAATGTTGCAATCTGTAAATGTTAAATAAAACACCCCCTTCAGATTCCCAGAGTGCCTTGCAGCTCACAATTTGGCCTTGTTTGTCACTGTGGTACAGATACACACACACACACACACACACAATGAGGGAAGCAGAGTCTGATCTGAGTTAGGGAGACACAGGTTTGCCTGCTGACGAGAGAGCTCTGCAGTACTCACTCCGGACAGCGATTTCTGGATATTCTCCCTGGCTCTGGCAATGTCGCGGAGGATTGTGCTCGATCCATCCTCCTGTAAGCCGTGCAATAAAGAACCATACAAAAAACGAACAAGTTACCAGAAGGGGAAAGGTGGAATCCAAGATATTTAAGGCTGGACTTGCTGGCCAACGGGTAAGAAAAGTACAGGTAGTTAAACAGCATCATTTTATCTCTTAAAGAGCGGTTAGATAGGCTGCCGTGTTCTTCTTTAAAGCACCAGTAACAGATCGTGGCCTCAGATTTGGCATCCCGTTGTAAACTAGACTTTCTAACACTATCCATTCCTATGCAATTCTGAGAGATTTACAAACATGTCACCCTATCATTTATTTCACTCTATCAAGGAGTTTACTCTCCCTGCCTCAACCAGCAAAGGCAAAAAGCTATAAAATGTGTGGTTACTGTCAAAGATATACACAGGGCTCACTTTGCCATAAACAGAGCTTGGTAAGGAGGAGTGTACAGGTTATTACAGGCACAGTATATTAATCCGGCAAACACAGGGCGGCAATGAAATCGTGCAGTACTCCGTAATTCATTTAATTGGACAGTAGATTTTACAAGCCTAATATTAACCATCTGCAGCCAGGAAAGCATCTCTGCTTAAAATGGAAAAGATTTTTGTATTTTTCAGGCAGGATCACAGGGCCACTTTTGTACGGTGATTATAGGAGCATTTTAGGCATTGCGCTGCGCTTTAGCAAAGACCCAAGTCAGACAGACACAGCCACCAACTGCAGAACCCTGGAAAAGCACTGACACCCCAGAAACAGTAACACTAAGAGGGAGCAAGAGAGAAGCCATTGCTTCATAGTAGAATAAATTATGGCAGCAATAAATACACAATGTTTTCTTTTTTGAGAGGCCCACTCCCTGGTAAAGACCTGGCCTGGAAGTTAGTGTGGATAATGTCAGAATTTCTTAATTACCTAAATGGCATTAGGGCGGCCAATCTGACAGTGGAACACTAGGAGGAGGGGAGATAGAATATAAGAAAACTAAAAACAGTTATGGGGACCCTTCGTTCTAAACACAAGGGAAGTTGGTTAATTGAAAGAAGAACTAGGTTTGACTCTGAAATCCAGAGGACTGGCCATCTAGGAGAGTCAGGGCCCTTTAATAACCTGTGTTTTATGTTAGGCAGCAGCTGGGGGCCACATGTTACAATACTTTAGGGCAGAGCCCGAGGGTGCTGTGTTCTCACCTGTTGCTGGTTCGGAGTGTTTGGAGAGTTTGGAGAGTTTTCTGCCAGATTCTTGCTTAGATTTTCATAATACTGTCTCTCGGCATCTTCATACTTGAATCTATCAAACCAGATTTTTTCCGTTGTTAGGCACGAAGTTGCCATTGTTCTAAAGCAAAACAAAAATCAGTTTTATAGTAATCAAGTAATAAGTACAGCTTATTTTGCTCTCAGCAGGATTCCATGAACCAATCAAAGCACAGCCATGTCCTCAGTGCTACACCCCCCCCGTTCGTCAGCGCAAATACTGTAACCTGCATCCAACCTTCCCTTTATCTGTATCCGCTAACTGAGCAATCAACATTGTGATTTAAATAAATAATCAATCCTATATAACATTGTATGGCCAATTCAAACGCTCACAGCACCCAAAGCCTGGCCCCTCTGCTCACACTAATGGACATTCTTAGTTTGGGTGCAGAGAGAGACACCCAATTTAATGAAACGCATGAAAACATTGACAATACAGTCAAAGTCATGGTGACCCATCTATGTCTTTTCTATGTCTGTTTAGATCTACTTAGGAAGGGAAAATTGTGGTAGCCAATAACAGACACTTTTTTTGTATTAGTCTCTATGCAGGAATGACTTATGTAATATGTATGAATCCATTGGAAATATATCCTCCCTTACATGTAAGCTAGGATATTGAAAGCCATACCATCATTTTATACAAATCACACAGAGAAAGCCAAAACTAATATTCAAAGGCTGAACACCAAATCTCACCCATCCCAGATTAAAAAAAAATAAAAAATAAAATTTTTTTATTGAAGTGTTAATATAAAATATCAAGTGTGAATTTTAATATTGCCCATGTGTCTACCCCTGAAATTGTGAACTGGGGCGGTTGTGTCACAATAGCCTAAAGTTTATGAGTTTCAGAGGAATGACACGAGGACTATATTTAAAATTTAATTATTTTCCAGGTCACCAACTGATGCTAGACTTAACCACAGACGTGAACTCTGAACAAACTTAACTAGAAGACCAGAAACACCAGCGATCAACCAAAATTAGATGTGACCACACTTCACAAGAAAACAAATCTGATCCTTTGCATACAATAGACAATCATCGCACCGGACAAACATTCTGAGAGGAGAATAGCTACAGAGACTGACTGAGGCCCAACAGCAGTCCTCTAGAACAACCATTGTATGTACAGTCGCATACATATAGCTGTTTTTTGGAGCGGAAGCACACAAAACCTACTTTTTGTGGGGAAGGACAGCACGGCGCCTGCACTTTTTTGCCACTTTTTGGACTTTTGCTACAGTGGGTTTCTTGGCATTCACAGCCTGTTGGATATTCAGGCTCTGAGCCACATAGAACCGTTCTTCGGCCTGATCATAAGCGGGCTTATTAAGCCACACACACTCACTGTCTTGGTGAAGGAAATAGTACACAGGGTTTTGAAGCAGTCCACTACTTTCCTCAGGGATACTGGCCAGATCTCGCTTTTTGGAGGTTTGTTGTGGCTGCTTTCCAGCTGACTTTCTATTCCATTTATCCCTCTTGTTTTTTTTCCCTGAATGAAAGCTCCAGTACTGATTAGAATTTGTCTTTAGTGCAGACTGTTTGCTGGCAATATTTTCATAAAATATTTTTTCTGCTTGGTCGAATGACGGCTTCTCCAGCCATACATCAGATAGCAGATCTTGCAGACCAGCCCACTGCGGCTTCCCATTCACTGTGGTTCCCGTAGGAGTTGCCGGTGCCCCAAAAACCTGCAAATCCGGAGCAGCTGGAGTCGGGGTGGCACTCACATAACCCTCATCGGACGCCCTGTGCATGACCTCAGTAACGTCTGTTTTATGAGATTCTAGAGAAAGGACAAGGGGGCGTGGAGCAAGCGGCGACACAAACTGCAAGACAAACTGTCTTTCTGCATCATCGAAGCTGAACTTATTGATCCAAATGCCATTATCTACATGGTGGCAAGCGCTCTGGCTGCTATGGCTGCAGTTCCTCAAGGCCGGACTGGGTGAATCTTGGCGAGCACTCTCTGGATCGGATGGCTTGGTATGCAGCTCTTTAGCAAGCATGGCATGGTAGGCATATTCAGCTTCTTCATACAAATACTTATCAAACCAGACTTTATCAGCCATCAGTCCAGACAGCATGCAATCCACCTTTGGCAGCAGTCCTTTGTTCCTGGGCGACCTTTTTCGCCTCTTCTGCTTTTTCCCATTAGTTTTTTTTTGGTCGACGTTGGAAGAATTTTCACCAGAGTCATACTGGTTGCAGCCATTTGAGGCCTCTTTGCTAGGAGTTGTATCCCCAGGCTGGAGCTCACAAGTTGCCCTGGAAGTATCTTCATTCGTTTCCACCCAAGCAGACTCTACTGGGCTCTGGTGCTTTCTTGTCCTCATCTTCAATGGTGGCATGCAGCGTTAAAAATAAACAAGAAAGCAGTAATGCAGTTACAAAGCCACAGAAAACATAGGAATGGGGGGGCATTTCAAGGAGACATCTTGAAAGACAATCCAGAAATCTTACAGCTACTACGGCTACACTATATGGAAATCCTATGCTACTAGCCTTAAAGTGAAACTATAGGCACCAAAACAAATTTAGGTTAATGAAGTAGTTTTGGCACATAGATTATACCCCTGCAGTCTCACTACTCAAATATCTGCCATTTAGGAGTTAAATCACTTGTTTCTTTTATACAGTATGCCTGGCTGTAACGGACAGGACCTTAACTTTCTTTAGGTTTTATCTCCTGCTCTGTAAATTGAACTTTAAGTCACACACGGGAGGATTCTGCAGGGTCTAGAAGACCATAAGCAAATAAATCACGGATTGATTGATTCATTAGGGTACATTAAAACGAATTTGATCCGTTTGAGCAAGCTGAAAATCATTAATGCACAAGTCTAGTTGGCAGTAGTAGGTAAGGAGACACTACATTTTAAAACATTTTAGCTGGGCTCTATAGAATGGTGACGTCCTACTCATTTAGCATTAGCCGGGCTCTATAGAATGGTGACGTCCTACTCATTTACCATTAGCCGGGCTCTATAGAATGGTGACGTCCTACTCATTTACCATTAGTCGGGCTCTATAGAATGAAATGTCCTACTCATTTAACATTGGCCGGGCTCTATAGAATGGAACGTCCTACTCCTTTAGCATTGGCCGGGCTCTATAGAATGGAACATCCTACTCCTTTAGCATTGGCCGAGCTCTATAGAATGGAACGTCCTACTCCTTTAGCATTGGCCGGGCTCTATAGAATGGAACGTCCTACTCCTCTAGCATTGGCCGAGCTCTATAGAATGGAACGTCCTACTCCTCTAGCATTGGCCGAGCTCTATAGAATGGAATGTCCTACTCATTTAGCATTGGCCGAGCTCTATAGAATGGAACGTCCTACTCCTCTAGCATTGGCCGGGCTCTATAGAATGGAACGTCCTACTCCTTTAGCATTGGCCGAGCTCTATAGAATGGAACGTCCTACTCCTCTAGCATTGGCCGGGCTCTATAGAATGGAACGTCCTACTCCTCTAGCATTGGCCGGGCTCTATAGAATGGAACGTCTTACTCCTTTAGCATTAGCCGGGCTCTATGGAATGGAATGTCCTACTCATTTAGCATTAGCCGGGCTCTATAGAATGGAACGTCTTACTCCTTTAGCATTAGCCGGGCTCTATAGAATGGAACGTCTTACTCCTTTAGCATTGGGCGGGCTCTATAGATTGAAATGCCTTACTCATTTATATTTAGTTAAGTGTTATGGGGACTGAATGCCCAGTCACAGCTAAAACTGCTGTCATCAAATAGGACATCCCATGATGTTATAGGACCAGCATGAGAAGTTGGCATGAATGAACATTAAATGAATAACATGCTCTATATTTTGCTTTTAGTATATTCTATATCCTTTGGCCTTTAGCTTACAGTATACTTTTGCTTTTCTGATTAGATGTCTTCTTGATCAACCCCCCATTAACAAAGCTTTTCCAGAGCAGAGGGTCATGTAAAAATCACAGAGCAATACTCATGGTACACTCTGGGAGTGGAGTTATTTTGTTAGTAGACGTGACCACAAACTTGAAATGTGACCTTGCACTAACCCTGCAGTACATGCGAACCGCGAGGGTCAGCAGGAACCTCACTGGTAACAGGGCATGCACGGTATGAACAATGAACCAACATGAATCAAGGGTGGCACTGCCATTCACAGCACAACACGTACAGAGCATGAAAGTTGAAATGGAAGTGCGTACACATTTTCAGAATCAGAATATACTTGAATAATTACTCATAGTGTGGCTCTGGGATCAAGGGCTGGTATGGTTTCTCAAGCAAGCAGAATGTTAGGAAGCGCTATGTCCCAAATATATATATAATCTATCTATCTATCTTGACCTGCCATCAGGCGGCGCAACGAATATAACATGGGGCGCGATTACTGGCAATTTGTGAGTGATCGTAGCAGGACATCTGAAAATTCTAGATAAACCAGCTTAAATCATACATTAAGAATTTGAAAGCTGTGTGAGTGTCCATTAAGGGTTCTTTTATATGAAGAAAGTTTGCAAGTTGTGATTTGAGCATGCCTCTACCCGGAGTTTGTTTTTATAAAGAATATAAAGTAATGACTGCTTCCTGTACTCTGGAGCGACAATCTGTTGCTGGTAGTCAAAATGAGTAATTCCATTTTAGAGGATTCCCCTTAATACGCATTAGAAATTACAACGAGCCAGTCCAGTGCGTACATGAAGGAACAAAATTCTAAATATATAAATCACTAGGTAACACCATCTCCAAGTATACAAAGTTAGGGGTTACACAAAGCCATCTGTAAAGCAAACTTTTAGGCAGTTGAAATAACAAGAGTTTTTTTTTATATTTAGGGCCATTTATCTAAAAGTGCATTAATGGTTTGAGCCAATGTCCATTATATAAACACAGTACTGCTCCCAGAGCTGGCACTGTAGCAGAAAATCTTTCAGGAGACACAGCTCAGTGTAGTGATTATGTTTACAGTGTCACTTTAAATACAAGGCATCAGCAAAAAAACATGTTGAAGAGCTAAAAGTCCCAGAATGCCTTGCCATACGAAGACATTAAAGGATCACTATAGTGTCAGGAACACAAACATGTAATCCTGACCCCAAAATAGTGTTAACACCACCATCTAGCCCCTCATGCCTCTATAAATATAGCTAAATCTTACTGTATTCAAGCCTGAAGCTGTAGCTCTGCATGCTGTTAGAATCAGAAAAACAAGCAGTCTGCTGCCATCATCAGAAGTGGTGGCCTGATCCAATCACAGTGCTTCCCCATAGGATTGGCTGAGACTGACAAAGAGGCAGATTAGGGGCAGAGCCAGCATGATTCAAACACAGCCCTGGCCAATCAGCATCTCCTCATAGAGATGAATTGAATCAATGAATCTCTATGAGGAAAGTTCAGTGTCTGCATGCAGAGGGAGGAGACACTGAATGTTTGGATGCATTTTAGGCAGCCATGACCCAGGAAGGATCTCTAACAGCCATCTGAGGATTGGCCAGTGAAGTTATCACTAGGCTGTAATGTAAACACTGCATTTTCTCTGAAAAGACAGTGTTTACAGCAAAAAGCCTGAAGGTAATGATTCTACTCACCAGAACAAATTCAATAAGCTGTAGTTCTGGTGACTATAGTGTCCCTTTTAAAAACAATCATGTGAGTTGCAGCTTTTTAACAGCTGTAGGCTACCTAGGATGATGGCTATAAGGTGCACAGCACTTTCCTTATGAATGCAGAACTAGACGAGACAATGATGGTGTGGAATGGAGGATGTAGCGCATGCAAGATGTACGGAGAACAGAGTGCCATTAATACTCACTGTACCCTGGAGTACTGAACTCCTATAGCAGCATTAAAGAGAGAAGGCAGGCGTGTTAGAAAGGATCAGACAAGAAAACATTGCACAATAAAGTCCCTAACAGGCAGATTAGTTACAGTTTTAGAAATTCCCCCACACCATGCAAAAGAAAAAGTCCTAAAATGAATCATTCAGCACCCTGGGCTTTGTTCTAACAGTAAAATTAAATTCAAATAGAAAAAAAAAAAAAAAAGAAGACGTGTAGGTGAACAGGAAAACCTCCACTACTTTTATAGTTTGCCGAAATTTCGAGATTCATTGAAGGAAAAAAAACAAACAAAAAACAAAACGATCCTTAAGAGGGAGAAGGGAGCTTATATTGGTTGGATTGAAATAGTGGAAAAAACTAAGCAGACAGTTTAGTGGATTGTTAGAAACCCCAGGACAGGGGATTAAAGAACCCTGACTGCCAGTCACCATGGCAACAAGACATTGGCTCCTTTAAGAGTGAAGAGCAATTCAGCTGGTGTATTGATTGTGTAAGTCCGCATCACGACATCCCTGGTACCCGATACATTATAGATGGCATGCAGCATTGAGTGCACCCAGCAATCAATTAGCGTTCAATTTGCTGCAGAATCAACAGTCACTTCGCCCCTCCCCTTCTTGCTGCACGCTGATTCTTCATGCAATCAGGGGGCTATGGCAGCAGTGACTGACAGGCAAGCCAGACACCGAAGTGTTAATTGCATGGAAGGCAAAAGTAAATTTCTCATTTTAGTCCAAAATCTAGGTGACTTGCAGATTACACCATACGTGTGTGTTGGTTGTCAACACCAATTAAAAACAATGTGGACGCTGTATGTGTCAGTAACTCCTTCCTGAATCCTATCATTTCATTATACATATTCAAACCAGATTAAAAATGATTATAGTCACTGCGAGGAACATGGCCCCTGCATTTTATTATTTTATTATTTTAGCGCAGTTTTAGGGTACAGTCCTGTTTTAATCCAGCGAGAGCGTCTGTTAACTGGCTGCAAGAACTGGATTTAGCATCCCCCATAACCCATCACTGACAGACAGACCTCATTATCTAAGCCACAGCATTACGGGCATCACAGGGGGGGAAAATAAAACACTCACTCAAATATTACAGAAACTTCAGCGATTGCACCAAACAGATGTGTTCCTCTATAACAGCGGTGGGGAACCTTCGGCCCTCCAGATATTTTGGACTACATCTCCGATAATGCTTTTACAGCCATAATGCTAGCAAAGCATCAAGTGAAATGTAGTCCACAACATCTGGAGAGCCGAAGGTTCCCCACGCCTGCTCTATAACAACGAGATGTTTTAAAAGTTGCAGTGGTTATGGTGTTTGAGTTTCCCTTTAAAACATCGATATGTTATATTGCCAGACCTATACCCTAATAATACTATGTCTACACTAAAACCACACGAATACTAGAGCTAAAACCTATTACTCCTCTACCCCAGCATGACAAGCCATCAGGCAGAGAATGTGTAGGGTTTGTAGAACATTTAAGATCTGAAAAGACCGATATACAATGTAGCTCAAAGCTTGGAATCCAGGGAGAAGCGGAGGTACAAGAATAACCAGTCCCACAGGGGAAGATATCGAAATAATACAGGGTGTATCAGTGGATCTTTAGGCTGGGTTATAAATGGACAAACCGTTCACTTGCTTAAAGCAATTAACATAAAAGACCTCTTTACACAACCACTTACTCTGCTTCTTGTATTGAAGGAACATGAATTAAAAAAAAAAAAAAAGATTACTTATCTATTAAGATACTCCCTGCAGCCAATACCCTCCAGTGAGATCTTCAAGCTCTATAACCGTATCTGTGTGTCCGAAGGCTCCCTCTGCTAACTGACTGTCACTCATACAGAAGAGAGGAGCCACCAGACCTGTGGTTGGCTACCCCTCCTGTAGTAGTTAAAAGTTGTAGTCCAGGTACTCAAGGGTCATTTGGACAGCAGGTTTATAGGGAAAAAAAAGTGCAACCTTTCGATCCCACAAGGGATCTTTCAATCTGCTTGAGACAGATCCCTTGTGGGATGGAAACATTGCACTTTTATTTTTTAATAAATCTGCTGTTCAACTGACCCTTGAGTGCCTGTATCACAATTTTGTTTAACCGACTGTCACTACTATGCAAGGACACCACGAAATGTAAACAGTGTACTTCTCAGAAATTACACAGGTTTTGTTTGCAAGGCTTCAGAGGCATCGTTGACGAAGTGATGTTGGAGCCTGAACTGCCCCTTTTGGTCTTGGTACAATAAAGTACCACGTGTGCCCACTCCAATTAAACCAGAAGTTGAAGACTTCCCACACATCAAGCTACAACCAAGTGATGTGAATCCCAAAATTCACAACGAAGCAGGAGCTTAGAGGATATGCTTGGAAATCCTGCTGACTCAAGGGACAGGATTGTGTGAAGGGGAGTCAGCCACTTCATGACTTGGTACTAAATTGATAAGGAAACTTCAAATACACTGGATAGTATCAGAGCAGTCACTCACCGCTAAGGAGGGATGCTACAATCACTATGACCTCTGTCCGGTTGGTATTTGCAACTAATGGGCAAGTGTCACCAGAGGATCAATAAGATCCCTAAAAATGTTGGCTTTTCAGCGCAGTTACCATCTGATGAATGAGCGTCAGTAACTCACACAGAATAGAGATCCTGCTAGCAGGGTTTATTAGCATTACATTTACAAGTTCAAAAAGGGCAATAAAAACATCTACTTAACTTCCCACAAAACTGTATCCTAAAGACACAATCTGTATCTAGTTATGTCTTTATGTGGTTCGGTGAGCGTACAAAGGATTAGCAAACTGCATATTATGCTAAATCCCTAAATAATCGCACATTCCTGTTAAATAACCACAGCCAAGCGATCAGCGTATATTATGCAGTTATTGGAAACTGAGCAATACTTAGGATAGAATGATTACATCAAATCGGAACTGAGAAACCCGCCTGGACCCCAAACTACCAACTCCATTATCAGACTGGGCCCCTAGATGTTTTGGACATTTATTGTTCCGGTTTGCTGGGCTCCCAACAATAACCATGTGGGAAGGTAGGGGGCATGTAGTCGAGATACTGGGGGAGGGTGGTTTCAGGGGAAGTAATAAGGGGATATTCCTGTTACAGAGCAGTACGATGACATGGCTCAGCTACACATGGCAGATCCAGCATGTTCTCCTGGTTCTACATGATGGGCATTTCATGAATAGGGCTAAATGAAACCAACTAAGGAAGATCATAAAATGTATTGATTCTGCTCTATATCCCCCCTGGCAGGGCGATAGCCATTATAATCCACCCCCCCCAAGCAGGTCAGATAGCCATGAACCCCCACCCCTCCCTAGGCAGGTCTGATAGCCATTAGAACCCCCACCCTCCCCTAGGCAGGCACAGCCATTAGAACCCCCACCCCCTCCCAGGCAAGGGCAATACCCATTAGAACCCCCAGGCAGGGCAATACCCATTAGAACCCCCCCACCCCCGTATATATCTACGGCTGTCCAGGTATGGCCCCCCCGGGCCCGGTATATATCTATGGCTGTCCCAGTGTGGCCCCCCGGGGCCCGGTATATATCTATGGCTGTCCCAGTGTGGCCTCCCGGGCCCGGTATATATCTATGGCTATATATCTATGGCTGTCCCAGTGTGGCCCCCCGGGGCCGGTATATATCTATGGCTGTCCCAGTGTGGCCCCCCGGGGCCCGGTATATATCTATGGCTGTCCCAGTGTGGCCCCCCGGGGCCGGTATATATCTATGGCTGTCCCAGTGTGGCCCCCCGGGGCCGGTATATATCTATGGCTGTCCCAGTGTGGCCCCCCGGGGCCGGTATATATCTATGGCTGTCCCAGTGTGGCCCTCCGGGGCCGGTATATATCTATGGCTGTCCCAGTGTGGCCCTCCGGGGCCCGGTATATATCTATGGCTGTCCCAGTGTGGCCCCCCGGGGCCCGGTATATATCTATGTATGTCCCAGTGTGGCCCTCCGGGGCCGGTATATATCTATGGCTGTCCCAGTATGGCCCCCCCGGGCCCGGTATATATCTATGGCTGTCCCAGTATGGCCCCCCGGGGCCCGGTATATATCTATGGCTGTCCCAGTATGGCCCTCCGGGGCCGGTATATATCTATGGCTGTCCCAGTGTGGCCCCCCGGGGCCCGGTATATATCTATGGCTGTCCCAGTATGGCCCCCCGGGGCCCGGTATATATCTATGGCTGTCCCAGTATGGCCCCCCCGGGCCCGGTATATATCTATGGCTGTCCCAGTATGGCCCCCCCGGGCCCGGTATATATCTATGGCTGTCCCAGTGTGGCCCCCCGGGGCCCGGTATATATCTATGGCTGTCCCAGTATGGCCCCCCGGGGCCGGTATATATCTATGGCTGTCCCAGTGTGGCCCCCCGGGCCGGTATATATCTATGGCTGTCCCAGTGTGGCCCCCCGGGGCCCGGTATATATCTATGGCTGTCCCAGTGTGGCCCCCCGGGGCCGGTATATATCTATGGCTGTCCCAGTGTGGCCCCCCGGGGCCCGGTATATATCTATGGCTGTCCCGCTGTGGCCCCCCGGGGCCGGTATATATCTATGGCTGTCCCAGTGTGGCCCTCCGGGGCCGGTATATATCTATGGCTGTCCCAGTGTGGCCCCCCGGGGCCGGTATATATCTATGGCTGTCCCAGTGTGGCCCTCCGGGGCCGGTATATATCTATGGCTGTCCCAGTATGGCCCCCCGGGCCCGGTATATATCTATGGCTGTCCCGCTGTGGCCCCCCGGGGCCGGTACTCACGCTGCGGCCGGTTCTGTCAGTAAGCGGGCGGGAGGGAGGGGGCGGGGCCACGTCACACGCTGTACTAGCTGAGACCGGGCCATACCACTGCAACAGGGGGTGAGAACAAGGGAAATACAGCTCTGAATCTAACAGTCACACCTCACCCCCCACAGATATACCCAGCTGTCTGCCCAGAGCCCCTTCCATACTGCAACGGCACCGAGCTCACTGTATAACACAGTCTGTCAAACTGCCACCACCCCACATGGAGAGAAATGGTTCAGTCCAGCAGCACTGCGCGCACGCGCAGTCACTCCATGACGCGGGATTACTACGGCGCATGCGCACGGCGGTGGGCGGCTGTTTGTCAGAGTGCGCATGGGTACTTCGGCTATATGTCGGAGTGCGCATGCGTACGGCGGCTATTTGCCAGAGTACGCATGCGCACGGCGGCTATTAGCCAGAGTACGCATGCGCACTGCGGCTATTTGTCAGCGTGCGCATGCGCACTGCGGCCGGCGGCTGTTTGTTAGAGTGCGCGTGCGCATTGCGGCCGGCGGCTGTTTGTCAGAGTACGCGTGCGCACTGCGGCCGGCGGCTGTTTGTCAGAGTGCGCATGCGCATTGCGGCCGGCGGTTGTTTGTCAGAGTGCGCGTGCGCATTGCGGCCGGCGGCTGTTTGTCAGAGTGCGCATGCGCGGGTTTACAGTTAGCAATCAGTGTGTGGGGGAGGCAGCAAGATAGAGCTGGAGGGGCTCCCAGGGGCCCATGGGGGGTGTTTCTAGCCCCTGCTCGGGTGGCTAGCAGTGGGCAGGCACAGTTACAGGGAAGCAGACTCTGCTGTCCATCTAGCACCATGCCTGGTCAGTGCTGGGGCCCCTGAGACATGAGGGGCCCATGGTAGTACCACCTTGGATTTCCTGATCCTATGCCCCTCGCAGCCAGCAGAGCCCTGGAAGGCCGGTGAGAGCCGCACTGGGTCACCATGGCCTACCATACCGAGCAGGAGCTTGAATGCACGTTGCCAGACCCCGAATGCACACCTACCATGGTAAAAATGGCCTTCCGCAAGGCGTACTCCATCAAGGACAAGCTCGACGCCATAGAGCGGGTGAAAAATGGAGAGCGCCAAGCTAATGTGTCCAGGGATTTTGGGGTGCCAGGGGGAACCCTGAGGGGTTGGCTCAAAGATGAACAGAAACTTAGATGGTTCCTGGACCAGCTTGGTGGGGACGTGGGCACACAACGGAAAAAGATGCGACTAGCTAATGAGGAGGAGATTGATAGGGCTGTGTATACATGGTTTATCACCCTAAGACAACAAGGCATCCCCCTCTCCGGACCCATCATTCAGGCACAGGCGGAAACCTTTGCAAAGCACATCTATGGGGCGGAGTGCACTTTCAAGGCCAGTCATGGCTGGTTCTGGCGGTGGCAGAAGAGACACGGTATATCCAGTCAGCGGATTTATGGTGAATCAGAAGTGAGGCCGCAGGACAATGACACATTTATAGTCTACCCAGAGCAACCAAAAACACCGTCCACGGATGGTGGCTATGGAGATGAACAGATATACAATGCAAACATCACCGGACTGTACTGGAGGTTACTGCCAGACCAAACCCGGGAGCTGGTCTTGGCCAAGCTGCCCAATGGTTACAAGAAGGTGAAGGACCACGTCACCATACTCTTGGCAGCCAACCTTACAGGAAGCCATAAACTGAAACCATTGGTGGTTGGGAAGTTACAAGCCCCACCAAGTCTTCACCACAAGTTCTTGGCAGCCTATAGGTACTCTAAGAACAGTTTGATGACCCCAGAGCTACTACGAGAGTGGTTTTTGGAGGAATTTGTCCCTAGTGTAAAGGGTTACCTGAGGAGTTGTTGTCTACAGCAAAAAGCAGTTCTGTTGGTTAACCAGTGTCCTACCAAGCCAACGGATGGTGAACTACGGAGCCCAGATGGCAATATTAGAGTGTTGTTCCTCTCCAACTCTTCTAGGAACAAGATCCCTTCTATGGACCAAGGAATCTTATCCTCCTTTAAACAACTTTATAAACGTGAGCTTCTGAAGCTGGTGGTGTCCTGCGACAGCATCCCATCAGAGTTTTTAAATTCTTTCCTGCTCAAAGATATGATCTATCTGGTTGGCCAATCATGGAACATGATTCAGGCTGGAAATATAGAGAAGTGTTGGCTTTTTGGTCTCAGGGCTGCTTTTGAAACCAGTGCTAGTATAGAGTCAGATGGAGAGGAGTATAGCAAGGTTTTCTCAGACTTAATCCATCTTGCAGCACTAGCGTACAGTCGCATGGCCCCAGAGGATATCGCAGAATGGGTACATCTGGATGACTCCGCAGCGGTTATGGATGAATGCTCACATGACAGAACTGCAGACTCTATCACTACCTTCATTGTACCAGAGGGCAACGTGGCGGATGGAAGAACCAGTGAAGATGAGAAGCTAGGAATTCCCCTTCCATCTGCCTCTGAAGCAGTCACGGGCCTGGAGACAGCTTTGCGCTGGTTGGAAGCACAAGACCCCCAGAAAGTTGGCCCCTTAAAATTAGTTCAGTTGCGTTCCCTGGTTTGCACTGCTCATAGACTTAAACAGGCACCGTTTAGGACCAAATCTACCGGCTGTAACGGGAGCTTGTGGTGCAAATTTAAGTAACAAGGCAGACTTTTACAAAAGAACGGTAGGGATATCCACTGCACTAGGAATTCACCATGGAAGTGTATGGTTAAACCAAAATAACAGGTTTGAAGATTTGGTTTCCCAGTTAGGCTTCTCCAGCCTAAAATGACAAATAAGCAGTTTAGTTAATTCGGTAGGTGTTGTGTCACTGCACACTATATATATATTTATATACACGCACACAGCGTGGCGCTGTCTGAGGCTGGGCTGTACAAGGGGTGCCAGCACCAGATCTCATACTTATGTGACATCATCTATGAATAAGGAATGTCCCAATGATATATTGTGGATTATTCGCTAAATAGACTTACAAATGTTGTTTTCCTTTCTCCAATCCCGCTGTCTTGGGAAGGTTACCAGAAAACACGGACTAGTGAACAGACCCACCTGTTCAATAAAAGGTAGCCATAACTCTTTGCAAGCAGGTTTCCCTTTCTTATGCTCCCTAAAGATTTGGGTGTATAGCTCATACCCTTGCAGTCTCACTGCTTAATTCTTTGCCATTTAGGAGTTAAATCACTTTTGTTTCTGTTTATGAAGCCCTAGCCACACCTCCCCTGGATGTGACTAACACAGCCTGCATGAAAAAAATGGTTTCACTTTCAATCAGATGTTAACTTACTTTAAAGTTTTTATCTCCTGCTGTGTAAATTGAACGTTAATTACATACAGGAGGCTTTTGCAGGGTCTAAAAAGCTTTTAACAAAGCAGGAGATAATAAATTAAACATAATTTGCAATAACGGAAGTGTAAACATTAGATGACCCTTTACAGGAAGTATTTAGGAAGGCTGTGCAAGTCACATGCAGGGAGGTGTGCCTTTAGCTGCATAAACAAAGTGATTTAACTCCTTAATGGCAGAGAATTGAGCGGTTAGACTGCAGGGGCAGGATATGTACACAACAGCTTCATTAAGCTAAAGATGTTTTTGTGGCTATAGTGTCCCTTTAATAGAGTTTATCATCTCGTTTCCCCCCTTTACTGCCTTGCATTTCACAGGTAGCAATCCAGAGAGGTTTCCTACTTACACAACACACCCTCTACATCAGGTGTCCAAGCTTGGCCCCAGCGGCTGGAAATGAATTATAATAAATATAAGGCAATAAGATAGGGCAGAGGCTGGACACCTGTGATCTTCATGTTGTAAAGAAAGACCTGTTAAGACTTTGGGTCTCAGCATCCTTTTGCGTACTTACCACTCGTTACAGTGAGCAGGTAGCACTGTTCGTGCACAAGAGTGCGGTTTAGCCCTTTCAGCACGTGTTGCATGCCACTTTGCTGACTGTCTGCTGCTGAGAGGGTTAACACATAATGTAAACCACGTATTTCTGGGTTTTTCACAAAAACTTAAATTGTTAGGGATTCAAAGTGAATTTTTAAATCTTAAGCCAAAATAGCCAAACATTAAAAATTCTCCACAATAGCTATGTATCCAGTTCAGCTATTTTGGTCTAAAATTTGAAATTCAATTTAAATGATAAAAGTACACACTTTAGTGAACAATCTTGTGTATGTGTAAGCACAGACTGAAATGTCGAGTAGATTTGTCCGACCCACCTGTGGTAGGTACTGCAATTCTAATTTCGTGCTTTATCAATAAAACACATTTGGACTTGTTGCTGTAATTCCTTTGAAAACCAATAGGAGGGGATGGGCAGTAATATAGAAATGTGGGTTTATTCCCTAAAAACTGGAGTTTTAGTAAATAACAGATAATCAAATTGCATATTTAGGCCACAATAGCCAAATTGAAGGAATTTTTTTAAATGTATTTCCAGGTCACTATATTAACAGTAGAGTTACTTTTTTATATTTATTTGTATTTTATTGAGTTATTGTGATTAATGCACAACTTATCATATATATATATGTAATATAGATACGTCGTGGGAGGTGACGTTTCTGTCGGTTAAGTCTCTATTTTATATTAATAAAGACATTACCACGGTATTCCGCTATATTGTATACTAAAAATAGAGTAATAGCTGGTGATTTACCATTTCATCAAACAGTTTGGTGGCCATACTCTAAAAAGCACCTGGCAAAGCGTAGTGGGAATATATACAGACAAAACCACGAAAATATTAAAATACAATAAGAATTCATGTAAACAAAAACATCACTTAATCTTCACTATCCAAACTGTTCATAGAAAGTGCTTTGAGCCAGAATTAAATTCAGTCCTAAAAGTCACCCTAGGAAGAGCTATCCCTGTGTTTGTATCTGGATTAGTGTCCGAGGGTGCAGCATTCAAGGTTGACTAGCAGGATTCTCCTGGTTACTCAGAGTTGGGGCTCACTTTATTTCATGGAAGGAGTGGTCTGTAAAAGGTTACCACTTCAGTGATTCCAAGTGGTCATGGTGACTGGAGGATGTATTTCACTTTGAAACATGCAGCTCATACAGAGTTTATCCCCTTTGCCACCAGAGGTGTAACTTCATCTTGGGCAACATCGGAACAAGTTCTGGGATATATTCCTTTGCATAGAATTGAATTAATTGGCTGAGAGCGGTCAGCTGACGCTCTCAGGCAATGAATGGCTGGTGGGATCACCTTCTGGCGTCTGCAGAACCCGGATGTCAGCACTGGTCACCGGGGGATCCAGGTAAGAGGGCAAACCATTTCAAAATGGTTTGCCCCATTATGACTAAATGGCTGGGGGACTCATCGCACCATAACTACTACAGCAGGCTGTAACGAGACTTGGAGTAACTCTTTACGTTTATTTCTGGATGTGTGACTTTAATCACTTCATTAATGGAGTAATCGTCTGGTTTTCTTTCTGATTGGATTGAAATCACGATTAAGGCACACAGCAGATCGCAGAGATTAAAGCTGCTCTGTGGCTTTCAGGGGGATTGCATAGTGCGCAAAGACCCTCGGAGATGACAGACCCGCTTGGTGTGGACGAGCTGGCAGAAGATATAGAAAGTCTTCTTTGCGGTTGCTGCCCATCTAGATGGGAAGAATGGTTCTTATCTGCCGTCACATTCTATGTTTCTATCTTTAGCTCATGGAGCTTGAGGTGTCAGGAACTGCATTATGGTCTTAGAGAAATCCTGCCAGATTCACCATCAGTCGTCTATTGCGAAACTCCAATGCAGTTAACGTGATAATTACACATAGATTATATCTATGAATTACTAAGAAGTGGCACAGTACGAACTTGGATTATTATGGGAGTTGTGATTTTCTAATATAACTACAACTGGCCTAAAAGGATCCACTATTTGTTCACCTAGGTTCCGAGAATCCATTAAATGTAGAGAATTTGTCAATTCTGAAAGGGATTTCTTTTACCATAATCCGACACGTTTCGTGTTGCTTTCGGCACTGCATTTCACAATAAGGTGCTTGCTGTTAGACCGACACCTGGTGGTGACATTTATTATTGCATTGGATAAAGTTTCCCTTGCAAAAGGCATTTCATTAATATTAGCATTTAGATAGCGCCAAGATATTCCACCTGAAAATGTGTGTTGTGGATGTGCACCGGTGCCATTTAGAAAACCATACCAAGGGTTAAATATACTTAGAAGATCATCACTATAAAACAGAAATAATCAGCCAGTTAGTGTGTAACTTGGCAGCACAGCAAGGAACATGCAGAATATCATACTCCATACTTAGACAATATTCATTGGTTGGGTGACAGCCAATCACCACTGGGAAAACAGACATTAAAAATGCAGTAGTGTGACCTATGCCGAACAAGTAAGCCAGGCCCCACGGAAGCCTCTGCACAACACAGAAATGGTGCCACGGCCATCACCATAACCACCTCAGTGGGCTGCAGTGATTTTAGTCATTACCCTTTCACATACAAAAACATTTATACATCTGTCATTCAATACTGAAACAGTCTCAGAAAAAAAAAAACACAGCTACATTTTAAAATGTATTTATTTACCTTGCAGTTATTGTATTAATGTGGTCTTACACCCACCTATAGACGCTGTAAACACTGATCTGACGAGCCAGCATAATGCCCATTCAGAGTTCACTCAGGACTCCTACAAGAAATCCCCCAAAAATAAACTTACAACTAGAAGGGATATGTGGCATAGCAGTTAATGCACTGTGCTTTGCCAGGGGTTATATAGGGCTGTGGTCCCAAATAATGACAGCCGGTCCTGCAGCTACATCCCGTGCAATTCAGGGTTCCTGATTGTTGTGTAGTTACTGTGCCGTCTTTTTTCCAATGCTCCTAGCTTTCTCTGTGGCAGTTTCCACGGCATTCATTACTGTGGCCCTGAGGCCCCCTTTCTCCAACTCATGCAATGCACAGATGGTGGTGCCCCCCGGAGTGCACACATCAGATCGCAGTTTAGCTGGGTGGTCTCCTGTCTTTAACAGCATCTTTGCTGCACCCTGCAATGCGGAAACAAGCAGACCTGTGAATCTGTGCCTCCACGTTACACAATATTTCAATTCATTGGGTGCCAGGCACAGTACATGCATTAAATCAGAGTCCTGTTATGGCACAAATACCATCTGGTGAACAACGTTTACAAACATGATACATCACATAATAGGAGCCCAGATCCAATGTGATTGCCCTGTGCCGGAATGATTAATGCAAATAAAATCCTCCATTCCCAGCATGCACCTGTAAAGTCCAGCCATAGGCCTGCTCTGGCGTAAAAATATACGTGCAAAAGTAACACGTGTTCACACCGGAAAATGCAAGTGGAAACAATAAAAATGCTTAAGAGGCCACTTCTCTCTACAGCCAGATTATCCCAGATATTAGTGGACCCTTAGGGACAATGCAATTTATCTTCACAGTGTGTCTTATATTTCATGTTGTATTAAATACTACACTATAAATGCTTCTGTAATTTCTCCCCCTTCATTTATTTATATATACACGATCTGGGAGTGTTTTATCCCTAGAATTATGGTATTTTAAAGGTAAACATGTTTTTGTTGGCACTTGCACTTTATGTGAACACGTGTTACATTTCCATATTTAGGATTGTGCCAAAGACACTTCTCTTTCCCAGAGACTCCATCCCCTACATCCTCAGTCTAAAGTAGTTACTTCCTTCCATGTTAATCAAGACATTATTCGACCAGCATTCCCCCCCCATACCTCATCAGAAGAAGAAGAAGAAAAGTGGCATTGTCATGACCGGTTTCGTTGTTTATAAGCATACTTGAAGTGTAATTCTAAACACTTAAGGACAGAGGCAATAATCGGTGAATTGATACCTTAGAGAGAGTTAGAGAAGGGCTACTAAACTGGTTCATGGATTGCGGGATAAAACTTACCAGGAAAGGTTAAAGGATCTTAACATGTATAGCTTGGAGGAAAGACGAGACTGGGGGGATATGATAGTAACATTTAAATACATGAAGGGAATCAACACAGTAAAGGAGGAGACTATATTTAAAAGAAGAAAAACTACCACAACAAGAGGACATAGTCTTAAATTAGAGGGACAAAGGTTTAAAAATAATATCAGGAAGTATTACTTTACTGAGAGGGTAGTGGATGCATGGAATAGCCTTCCAGCTGAAGTGGTAGAGGTTAACACAGTAAAGGAGTTTAAGCATGCGTGGGATAGGCATAAGGCTATCCTAACTATATGATCAGGTTAGGGAATAATGAAAGTATTTAGAAAATTGGACAGACTAGATGGGCCGAATGGTTCTTATCTGCCGTCACATTCTATTTTTCTGATGAAAGTTCATGTTGTGAACGGAAACGTCTATATTTTTAATTTGCGAGCAGTAAGTAAAAGTTAAGTTTTACTTTTACTACATTCAGACGTCCTTGGAGTGTTATTATTAAAAGGCAAATATATATAAATTTATATTTTATATTAAAAAGAAATAAAATTTCTTTAGTATTAGTGTGAAAATATATATTTTTGGGCATAATATTTATTTTATTTTTTATTTTTTTTAAACTTTTTTGCAGTTTGGGGGACTGCCTGACAACCGAGGCAGTTCTTTAGCTTGCTATACTGGCCAATTCATTGTTTTGTCAATATGATAACATGCCCCGGGAAGCTTTGACTTACTATAGGGGGACTGCCTATATGGTCAGGCAGTCCCCCAAAGAAGATTGCAAGGGTAGGTATGTACCAGCCAGCTCAGGGGCTCCAAGCCGCTACTGCATTTAATCCCATTTAATGTTGGGCGGTATAGAATGTCATAATGGCCTTAGGGGCTAATATCAGAAAAACATCCTGTTTTTTAGTGATTCCATCAAGACACAAGTTGGGCCAGGCTGCTTATACTTCTTCGATTGGTCGATGGATTGTCAGAGCCATTGCCCAGGAATTCTGTAGCTCGGGTTTTACCCATCTGCAGTGCTGCCATGAATATATCCAGGAAAATAGAACATTTACTCCATACATACCGATACTTCCTTTTCCCGGATATAGGCCATGGCAGCACTAAATGACCACCCTTAATTTGTTTCTTGGACGAAGACTGAGGATGTAGGGGATGGAGTCTTTTTATGGTTTAATTAGGAGGTGTTCCTGTCCATTTTTAGGATTTGGAGGAGCTACTCATCTGTAGTGCGGCAATGGTCTGTATCCGGGAAAAGAAAATATTGGTAAGTATGGATCCATTTTTCTATTTTGTTATAGGTCTGGCAGTACTTTATGAAGTTTGAACTTTGTAGTTTTATAGATCTGCTCTTCCTTGTGATAAATCCATGTTCCCTAAACTCACCAGCAAGGTCTGAGCTGCAATTCGATTGGATAATTCACTGGGCATTCCCATCTTAACGGCACCATCTGCCAGAGCCTCCGCAAACATGTAAACCTGAATAAAGGCAGAAAGAAAGCGAGGAATGATGGGGATGCGGAGAAGGCTATTCCAAAAAACAAGAGAAAAATCAGCTTTTATTAAGAAATTCTGCTCCCAGGGCTGCAAATACACCCATTGTGATTTTAACGACCGACTGGCGCTTGTGGGATTTATTTTTCCTACAAACCAGCAGCTTAGTGAGAATTGGCCATTAATTGTGCTTTTTTGTGGATTAGTGGTCTGTTTTAGGTTTCTAGATGAAAGTGCGGTCAGTGTGTTTTATACGTCATTACACTCATTACCCCAGTAAGCAGCCCTTTAATAGCATGTGTCAGGGGAAGGGACCGTTCCTCGTTATTAATACTCCTTAGCGGTCACTACTTTCCTTACTTACATAAGCCACTCCACTGCCGCTCAGCCCGGTGTGGATATCAATGTACGACTCCGGGACCTCCTCACACAGACCACACCCAGAAAAAAGGCTCTTTACCATAGCCACTTCCTGGTCGCCGGCACGACGACCTCGGCACACCACCACAGCTCCCTCCTGAACCACACAAGGTAAGTTAGGAGACATGCGGAGAACCTTCGAGCCAGCAGGAAGACACTGGAGATGAAAATGGACAGTTAAATATAGACTGGAACGCAGGGGTTTGGGACCTTATAACAATTCCCATCTCTCTACAGATCTAATTTGTTAGTTAAAAAAAAGTAAAAAATTAACAGACCTGCCACGGCCTGTAGCCTCAGGACCATGTGAAACACTGTAGACACTATAGCTATTTTATTGAAGTGGTTATAGTGTCTGGAGTCCCCTGGACTGTCCCTCCATTCAGAGTTAAATTATATTGAGATGTCTAGGCACCCACAGTCCTGCCCCCACTGGAGGTGTGGCTAAGGCAGAGATTTCACACTATCTTGTAGTCATACCAATTCATACCTGCAGTGGGCACTGGGATCTAAGTCTCAGACAATCACAGTTGGCCATTGCTGCTCGGGCTGATACTTCCTCATCAGTCCAAACAGCATGGGTGGGATGGGCTGCCTCGTTCTACATTAAAACGGTTTAACACTGCATGGGAATTCCAGACACTATAACCACTTTAAGAAGATAGAGCAGTTAGTGTCCCTTTAATTTATAGAAACAGTCAATGTGGAGCCTCCAAGCATTATAGCAGTGCCCACAGGATCCTCTAATCCAGCACTATAGTTACACAGGAACGCCATTGTCCGGATTAAACAAGAACATGTACGGTTAGTGGACACAGCATACTAACCACAAAATCCCTTCTATTCCGACATGGCTCTCAGTGAACTCACACTTTCCAGGGTTTGTAGGGTAACACCAGCAGCCAGTGATATAAAGACGTGTTCACAGGTAACCAGCGATGAGATCTCTTGGAGGACAGTGGAAATGATGTGTGGTTTTACAGCCAAAATCACCACTTTACAGGCAGTTAGGACGTCAGCATTGGAATGCGTTGTGTGGCAGCCATGGTCCTGAACAAAGAAATCTTTATTAACACAGACTGAACGTATCACTCAGCAGCCAGATAGCACCCCATGTATTCCCCGCCCCCTCCCCCCCCAGACATCCGTCACTGTATACTGCACTCACAGCTACCCACCAGGTATCCATCACTGTATACTGCGTTCACAGCCACCCCCTGGGTATCCATCACTGTATACTGCACTCAGCCACCCACCAGGTATCCATCACTGTATACTGCGTTCACAGCCACCCCCCGGGTATCCATCACTGTATACTGCACTCAGCCACCCACCAGGTATCCATCACTGTATACTGCATTCACAGCCACCCCCCGGGTATCCATCACTGTATACTGCATTCACAGCCACCCACCAGGTATCCATCACTGTATACTGCATTCACAGCCACCCACCAGGTATCCATCACTGTATACTGCATTCACAGCCACCCCCCGGGTATCCATCACTATACTGCACTCACAGCCACCCCCGCATCCACACTGTATACCAAAATTCAAGGCCACCTCGTATCCGCCACCGTATACTGCACTCACAGCCACCCCCGGGGTATCCGCCACTGTATACTGCACCAGCTACCCACCGACATCCGCCACTGTATACTGCACCTCACAGCTACCCACCGGGCATCCGTCACTGTATACTGCACTCAACCACCCACCGGGTATCCATCACTGTATACTGCATTCACAGCCACCCCCCGGGTATCCATCACTGTATACTGCATTCACAGCCACCCCCCGGGCATCCATCACTGTATACTGCACTCACAGCTACCCACGAGGCATCCATCACTGTATTCTGCACTCACAGCCACCCCCCGGGTATCCATCACTGTATACTGCACTCACAGCTACCCACCGGGCATCCGTCACTGTATACTGCACTCACAGCCACCCCCTGGGCATCCATCACTGTATACTGCACTCACAGCCACCCCCGGGTATCTGTCACTGTATACTGCATTCACAGCCACCCCCCGTGCATCCATCACTGTATACTGCACTCAGCCACCCACCGGGTATCCATCACTGTATACTGCACTCACAGCCACCCCCCGTGCATCCATCACTGTATACTGCACTGACAGCCACCCCCGGGTATCCATCACTGTATACTGCACTCACAGCTACCCACCAGGCATCCGTCACTGTATACTGCACCCACAGCCACCCCCTGGGTATCCATCACTGTATACTGCACTCACAGCCACCCCCCAGGTATCCATCACTGTATACTGCACTCACAGCCACCCCCTGGGTACCCATCACTGTGTGTTTATATATATTTATTTTATTTTTTTCTGTTTTGCTATTTTCAATATACTAGTCGAGACGTTATGTACTAAATGGCTTGTAAACTTTTGAGTGTTTCAGAACAAAAACAATAGAGCTGTGGTCTTTCCAAGGATTAATCTTATCAAAATATTGAAAGTCTGTTCCACCAAAGTATTCTCCCCTAACATTAGATCGATTCTAGAAAGGTTAGTGTACCCTAGATATTATTTTGAGGACCTTGAGGAGTCCTTATCTACAGTACAAGGGTAATTGTATTTAGGATTTTCTCTGTTACCCACTAAGTGTGTGTTCTATCCACGTTTGGTGTACCTGAATTTTTTTTGTATTTTACCCTAGATAGATGCATATAATCTTTTTCGGATGTTTGATTGACCCACCATATGTCTAATAAGATTACACATGGTATTAGATTGTTCACTTTTCATGCATGTATCACTTCCTCATATAACTTGTATCCCATTTTATTTTGTATAAAAACAACAAATTGATAAATTCGCCTTTTGAGCAAATCATACATGTGATTTATTTTATGTTGGGTATTGACAAATGCATATATTAATAGAAATGCACTTTAATATTACCTTCCTTCCATTCATCTCACTTTCACGAGCTCAGCCTTCCTCTCAAAAACCACATCTAACTGTTAAAATCTCGGCATATCCCGCTGTATACATAGTTATACTATTACGTTTCCACCATTTACTTACACGGAATATTTTAACATTCTTGTCACTCGGGGCACTCACTGTGACATCTTTTGCTTGAATTTTACCTAAAAAAAAAAAAAAATATCACTTAAAATACAATATTAATGCATTACAAATCCAGATACTGTAAGAGTCATTTGGTAAGATTCACTGATACAGAAAATACATTTACAGGTTAAACAAACAGACTAAATCACAACAAAGCTACTACACAGAGCTGCAGTGATGATGGTGTCCCTGCGATTGCAATGAGGAGTAGCATAAAATCTCTTTTCATTTAGCCGTTTTTATTGGTGGACCGCTGGCTGCGAGGATCAGTAATGATATAGGGAACGCTCAGAGATCCTGCAGTAACAGGGAGAAGCGATTTCACAAACATGAAGGTACAAAGAAAAACTCAGATTCATACAGTATGTATAATGACCATTGTGATCACTCACATGACATGGAGCCAAACGCTGCTCTGCAAACAGATTTTATTTTGCAGAGCCACACATTCTGCACAAATTGTATTTTATCTCTGGTTTTCTCCACATTGTCTGTGATGGACTCTCTCCAGCCTGAAAGATTACTCTATCAGGACCTTATTCACTAAACTGCAATTTGCAGCATTTTCCAATTCACAAAATTTTATTGATGAATAAAAATCCCATGAATATTTACTAAAGTGTGATTGAGGAGAATTCAAAGTGACCAAATTAGCCAGATTGGAAACATTTAAAAGGCAACTCTGTTCCCAGCTGTTAATTTGGCCTAAAATGTAAATTTTCCTGAATTTCTTGACAATGGACAGTTATTGAATAACCGTGTCACTGCTGAATTCCTGCAGTCTGGGTTTTATTGCTCACAATAAAATTTGTGAAATTAGTGAATTGCTGTAAATTAATCCTACACACCATTAGCCTGCACTCATATGGCCTGAGTGGCTGCAGATAGAGAGGGAGAGTAGACACAGAGTGTGAGTGTAGACAATGTGAGAGTGCAGACACAGAGTGTGAGTGCAGACACAGAGTGTGAGTGCAGACACAGTGAGTAAGGAGTGTATGGCGGTAATGAGTACAGTGAGTGTGAGTGAAGGCAGTGAGTGTGAGTACCTGTGAGCATGGCCCCCTCCAGCACCCCCCTGGCCATCCTCCCGGCCCCGATGCAGCCCAGCCCGCTCTCCGCCATCCCAGCGCCGGCAATGAAAGGGTGCAGCCTGGCCACGTGGTACATAGCGGGAGGGGGCGGGGTTATAGCGGGAGGCGGGCCCTGATTGGCTGGCGGAGTGACGTCACCGATACGATCCTATATAAGAGTCTCCAGTGCAGCTCCCCCCTCAGTGAGAACAGAACAGGTGAGAGCCAGGCATGGAAGGGGTTAATAATACCATTACTGAGAGCAGCCTGGCATGGGAGGGGTTAATAATACCATTACTGAGAGCAGCCTGGCATGGAGGGGGTTAATAATACCATTACTGAGAGCAGCCTGGCATGGGAGGGGTTAATAATACCATTACTGGGAGCAGGCTGGCATGGAAAGGGTTAATAATACCATTACTGAGAGCAGCCTGGCATGGAGGGGGTTAATAATACCATTACTGAGAGCAGCCTGGCACGGGAGGGGTTAATAATACCATTACTGAGAGCAGGCTGGCATGGAAAGGGTTAATAATACCATTACTGAGAGCAGCCTGGCACGGAGGGGGTTAATAATACCATTACTGAGAGCAGGCTGGCATGGAAAGGGTTAATAATACCATTACCGAGAGCAGGCTGGCATGGAAAGGGTTAATAATACCATTACTGAGAGCAGCCTGGCATGGGAGGGGTTAATAATACCATTACTGAGAGCAGCCAGGCATGGAGGGGGTTAATAATACCATTACTGAGAGCAGCCTGGCATGGAAGGGGTTAATAATACCATTACTGAGAGCAGGCTGGCATGGGAGGGGTTAATAATACCATTACTGAGAGCAGGCTGGCATGGGAGGGGTTAATAATACCATTACTGAGAGCAGCCTGGCATGGGAGGGGTTAATAATACCATTACTGAGAGCAGCCAGGCATGGAGGGGGTTAATAATACCATTACTGAGAGCAGCCTGGCATGGAAGGGGTTTAATAATACCATTACTGAGAGCAGGCTGGCATGGAAAGGGTTAATAATACCATTACTGAGAGCAGCCTGGCACGGAGGGGGTTAATAATACCATTACTGAGAGCAGGCTGGCATGGAAAGGGTTAATAATACCATTACCGAGAGCAGGCTGGCATGGAAAGGGTTAATAATACCATTACTGAGAGCAGCCTGGCATGGGAGGGGTTAATAATACCATTACTGAGAGCAGCCTGGCATGGAGGGGGTTAATAATACCATTACTGAGAGCAGCCTGGCATGGAAGGGGTTAATAATACCATTACTGAGAGCAGGCTGGCATGGGAGGGGTTAATAATACCATTACTGAGAGCAGGCTGGCATGGGAGGGGTTAATAATACCATTACTGAGAGCAGCCTGGCATGGGAGGGGTTAATAATACCATTACTGAGAGCAGCCAGGCATGGAGGGGGTTAATAATACCATTACTGAGAGCAGCCTGGCATGGAAGGGGTTAATAATACCATTACTGAGAGCAGGCTGGCATGGGAGGGGTTAATAATACCATTACTGAGAGCAGGCTGGCATGGGAGGGGTTAATACCATTACTGAGAGCAGCCTGGCATGGGAGGGGTTAATAATACCATTACTGAGAGCAGCCTGGCATGGAAGGGGTTAATAATACCATTACTGAGAGCAGGCTGGCATGGAAGGGGTTAATAATACCATTACTGAGAGCAGGCTGGCATGGGAGGGGTTAATAATACCATTACTGAGAGCAGCCTGGCATGGGAGGGGTTAATAATACCATTACTGAGAGCAGGCTGGCATGGAGGGGGTTAATAATACCATTACTGAGAGCAGCCTGGCATTGAGGGGGTTAATAATACCATTACTGAGAGCAGCAAGGCATGGAAGGGGTTAATAATACCATTACTGAGAGCAGCCAGGCATGGAGGGGGTTAATAATACCATTACTGAGAGCAGCCTGGCATGGAGGGGGTTAATAATACCATTACTGAGAGCAGCCTGGCATTGAGGGGGTTAATAATACCATTACTGAGAGCAGCAAGGCATGGAAGGGGTTAATAATACCATTACTGAGAGCAGCAAGGCATGGAGGGGGTTAATAATACCATTACTGAAAGGAGCCAGGCATGGAGGGGGTTAATAATACCATTACTGAGAGCAGCCAGGCATGGAGGGGGTTAATAATACCATTACTGAGAGCAGCCAGGCATGGAGGGGGTTAATAATACCATTACTGAGAGCAGGCTGGCATGGGAGGGGTTAATAATACCATTACTGAGAGCAGCCTGGCATGGGAGGGGTTAATAATACCATTACTGAGAGCAGGCTGGCATTGAAGGGGTTAATAATACCATTACTGAGAGCAGCCAGGCATGGAGGGGGTTAATAATACCATTACTGAGAGCAGCCAGGCATGGAGGGGGTTAATAATACCATTACTGAGAGCAGCCAGGCATGGAGGGGGTTAATAATACCATTACTGAGAGCAGCCCGGCATGGAGGGGGTTAATAATACCATTACTGAGAGCAGCCAGGCATGGAGGGGGTTAATAATACCATTACTGAGAGCAGCCTGGCATGGAGGGGGTTAATAATACCATTACTGAGAGCAGCAAGGCATGGAAGGGGTTAATAATACCATTACTGAGAGCAGGCTGGCATGGGAGGGGTTAATAATACCATTACTGGGAGCAGCCTGGCATGGAAGGGGTTAATAATACCATTACTGAGAGCAGCCAGGCATGGAAGGGGATAATAATACCATTACTGAGTGCAGCCTGGCATGGAAGGGGTTAATACCATTACTGAGAGCAGCAAGGCATGGAAGGGGTTAATAATACCATTACTGAGAGCCGTATGGCATGGAAGGGGTTAATAATACCATTACTGAGAGCAGCCAGGCATGGAAGGGGTTAATACCATTACTGAGAGCCGTATGGCATGGAAGGGGTTAATAATACCATTACTAAGAGCAGACTGGCACGGAAGGGGTTAATAATACCATTACTGAGAGCAGCCAGGCACGGAAGGGGTTAATACCATTACTGAGAGCAGCCAGGCACGGAAGGGCTTAATAATACCATTGAGAGCAGACTGGCATGGAAGGGGTTAATAATTCTATTACTGGGAGCAGCCGGGCATGGAAGGGCTAATAATACCATTACTGAGAGCAGCCGGGCATGTAAGGGGTTAATGAGACCATTACAGGGAGCGGCCAGCCGTGTAAGGGGTTAATACTGTGTATTATACTATGACAGGGAGCAGCCAGGTGTGTAAGGGATTAATACACTATTATACTATTACAGAGAGCGGCAAGGAATGTAAGTGGTTAATACTGTGTATTATACTATTACAGAGAGCGGCCAGGCGTGTAAGGGGTTAATACTGCGTATTATACCATTACAGAGAGCGGCCAGAAGTGTAAGGTGTTAATACTGCGTGTTATACCATTACAGAGAGCGGCCAGACGTGTAAGGGGTTAATACTGCGTATTATACTATTACAGAGAGCGGCCAGGCATGTAAGGGGTTAATACGGTGTATTATACTATTACAGAGATGGGCTAGGCGTGTAAAGGGTTATTACTGTGTATTATACGGTTATCTGCTGAAACATAACGTTTATCTAAAAATATATAAAAATGGCAGCAAACTTTATCCAAAGTAATTGAAATAAGGTGACATTCCCAGCCACCTCGCTGCAGGGTATCCAGCCTTGGGCCACTCACCTGTCGGAGCAATAGTGATCACGTTCCTCGCGTGTACTTACTGTGTGACCTACCTGTGCGGAGTGATGGAGGCTCCCCACTGTATAGACCCCAGAGACTGGCAGTGGGCGCTGGGGGCTTCTAGATAGTTACATTCAGATTTTATATCGTAATAAATGCTCAAATAACCATATCTGGCCCCCGGGAGGTTTTATAACCAGGATATTCAGTAAACCTGGGCTGTTAGGATGTCACCAGGGAAAATAGCCGATCTCCAAACACTGTGGAGAAATTATAGGGTTCTATTATTCTGGCCTAATGTGTTCCTGCTAGGTTTATTCACTAGAAGTCAAGTTGCACAATTTGCTATTTATACCTAAAAGGTTGTTTTTATTATCCATAAATCTGTGCTTTCTGGCCCATAGTCACCCATCGTTCTCACAAGGTTATTGCGCTACGCACTCTCTCTGCATGTCGGCAATGACTGCACCAACATTAAACATTATGGCAGCCCCTGCTCCAATCCATCAAATGGGAGCTCAGCATGCGCACCCTCAGTCTCCCTCATAGACCCCACATCCTGCTCTGCATGGAGGGAAGGGACCAGCCTCTCTGTAGTCGCCCCTGTCAGCTTGTACACGAGTTTAATTGGTCTCTTCATGAATTAAACTATTCATTCTGAGACGTGTCCCATAAACCGTTCGATCAGGAGTTTATAGAACTGGCTGAAAATGAACACCGTGACCGCGTGGCTACAGGAAGCTGAATGCCGTCCTTACAATTACTTTTTATACTTTTTATAGGTACAGTATGATCATTTAACCCATTAAGGACCAAACTTCTGGAATAAAAGGGAATTATGACATGGAACACATGTCGTGTCCTTAAGGGGTTAAATTGGGATACCCATTAGCCATTCAAACTAATCCGTTAATTTGGCTACTGGAAAAGTGTAAATGTGACTTTTATAATCCACTGATGAAGGTAAGTAAAAATAGCGTTTAGAAATTCTTATTGATTGCACATTGAAGAGAGATACGCTGAGAACCCCTGCTTAGTGTGTACATTACTCACTGTAGAAGCTGCAAACACTGCATATGCAGCAAACCTCATAACTGCTATAACGAGCGCTATAAGTGCTATAATAATGTGGTGTGTTTTTTTTTTTTAACATTAATGCTTTTCATGGTAGCCACCTCCAGCCTGGAATGTCCCTTTAAACCGTAGATCGAAAATGTGGTTATTGTGCAAAGTCACGGGAGTGTCATCCCCCTCTTGTCAATCTAAGACCTCAATTTTAATATTCTATTTCGATTTAATATAAACTTTTCGAATTTAATGTTTTTATAGATTTTTTCAATATATTAATGTCAAAATATCATATAAAATATATCAAAATATTACAAAAGTAAAATATTTCATTATAATAATTTTAAAAGTTTCTTATATAAATGAAATAATTTCAAACGATTATCCAGCAATATTAAATGGAGGCCCTAAATTTGGTTTCGTCAAGTGGTTTAACAAACCAGGGCTGTCCCAGCACCTCAACCCAGGCTGTTCACCTTCTGCTTCTTTGATGGTGAGCGTCCTGTTACCCGTCCATCCTTGCATGGCGATGACGGGCTGTGGAGTTTGACAGAAATGATGGCGGCATCCACAGTGTCTGTCACTCACTCACTGTGAGCTGCGTGCGCGGAGCCGTGCCCTGATTTTCTGATTGTGTTCGGTGCTGACCCGTGTTCGGTATTGACCCTCCTTGTTAATGGCTTTCCTCTTTCTTTACAGCCGATCCTGCTCTACAATGCCCCCGTCCTGGATCGTCGTGCTTATTGCCCTTCTTTTGCAGCCGCAATGTGCCAGGGCGTTTTTTGGCTGGTTTTCACGGAAATCGTCCTCAAGCCGATCCCCTGGAGCGCACGAGGAGCCCACTCAGTCTTCTGATCCCGGGGCCCTCCCCAGCGCCCCCTTTGAAATGACCACAGTGGATGAAAAGTTCCTGGCGGAGGCGAGACATCTGGAGCTCTCACCGTTGGACAGCTGCCATTACAAGGTATGGCATGGGCCTGGAAGGGTTAAACAGGTAACTTTAATTTCCCCTTTACCGCGTTCCAAAGAAATATTCGGCTAATTTGATGAGATTTCTATATAAACTGCTGACAGTGAATTGTAGCGAATTGAAAGCCAAATTGCATATTTCAGGATAAAATAGCTGACTCCGAAAAATGATCCATCTCTGCTTGAGTTGCACCTTATTTTGGTTTTAAATTTTGCACTTCAGTTTTCAACCTAGAACCATTTGCAGCTTAGTGAATAAAGAACTTGGTTTAACTATTAAATTACCCCTGTGCATGCGCCAGCTATTTAACCTTTCCCTGTTTCCTATGTTCTGTGCTGCCCCCCTGAGGTCAAAACATGCAAAGCAAACGCCACATTTGGCATCATTACCATAAAGTAGTTATAGGACAAGCTTAGCTTTATGGTTCATCGCATTGGTATCTGAATCACTTCCTGGTCTGGGCAGAGATTGCTGCAATTTCCCCAAAACATTTCTAACTTTAGTTTAGTGTCTTTCTCGCCTATATTTTATTTTTTCATGACAATCTATATAATCCATAATGAAAGGGCAATCCCATTGTGTTCCTTTAAATGAAACTGTTACTTTAATGGCAGGTGGTCAGCCAGCTGCGGGCATCCTGCACGGAGATGTCTGAAGAAGAAATCGCCAAGCTTGGGGTATGTCTCTTGAATTGCCAGGCGGAGGTGGAGGGGCGCCCGACGTACCCCTGTACGGAAGACATGGTAAGTTACTGTTTGGCTCTCAGCTTGTAATATTGTGTATCGCTTTATTTTATATGGATGGCCGTTGCTTTGACTACTTTGTCTATTATGTTGGCATCTGGATGATGAGCATTTTATTCCCCCCAGCTCTCTGCGTGTATTGGGACGGAGTATCTGTGGCTAGGTGGGGGAGGGGGGGCTGTAGCAGTGTATGGATTCTGGCAAGGTCGCTAAAGCTGCATATCTGACCGATGGCACTTTAAACCAGGATGTCTGGGTTAGACTTAAAACATGCAGCTATGCAGTGACTGGTTATGACTTGCTTGCCCTGGTGGTGCTTATTGTGCCTTGCCTGGAAGATGTCGCTGGCTTTGCAAGCATGTCAAACAAGCGGCCCACAATGCGTATCTTTGTGGCCCGGCGAGCCGCGAGTTTGACATGCTTACTAAGGCAGAGTAAGCACCTGCTCTCCCCACTTTGCAGATACCTACTCTGCTCAAAATGTATCCAGCCGGGGTGGAGAGGTCACTGGACACAGCGAGGGAGCTCAGTCTTCCTGCTCCTCACTGCTTGCGTGCTCCTTCTGTAGTGATGCAGAGGCCAGAATATGACTTCATTCCGCATCTCTAAACCACGGTGAGGGAGCATTGAGTCGCAGGTAGGAGACCCTAGAGAGTCCACACCAGCTCCCAAAGGTTGGGAGCAATAAATAAAATGGTGTGGGTGTGTGTTGTGTGTTTTGTGCCAGTGTTATGGCGGCTGAGGGACAGTGGAGGTGCATGGAGGCACAAACGCCACGCCACATTTTGACGAGCCAACGTGCTCCACCTTCACATGATTTCAAGGAGTAAGGAGGAACAGCTTTAGCACAGGGCGGACGGGCTTAGGTGTATACCGGAGGCTGGAGTCGCATACCAGCAGCAGCAATGTCAGTGGAGTCTGCTTGTTTGGTAATATTTTTTTTAAACAAGGGCTGGGGTTTGGTAGAGGTTTAAGTATAGTGGGGGGGGGGGGTGTGCTGTGCTGATTTAGTATAGTTGGGGGGTGCTGGATTTAGTATAGTTGGGGATTTAGTATAGTTGGGGGGTGCTGCATTTAGTATAGTTGGGGGTGCTGGGATTTAGTATAGCAGTATAGTTGGGGTGCTGGGATTAGTATTGGGGGTGCTGGGATTTAGTATAGTTGGGGTGCTGGGATTTAGTATAGTTGCTGGGAGTTTGGGGTGTGGGATTTAGTTGGGGGTGCTGGGATTTAGTATAGTTGGGGTGCTGCTGGGATGGTGGTATAGTTGGGTAGGGTGCTGATTTAGTATATAGTGGGGGTGCTGGGATTTAGTATAGTGGGGGGATGCTGGGATTTAGTATAGTGGGGGGATGCTGGATTTAGTATAGTTAGCTATAGTGGGGGGATGCTGGGATATAGTGGGGATGCTGGGATTTAGTATAGTGATCCATCCATTTATAAAAACAAATGTTTGGAAAAGCAAGTATTACAGTATTCAGTGTCCTTTATCTTGCAATATTTCATACAGTCTGAAATGCTAGTCTAAAATTAAAAATTAAATTTTTTTTGACCTGAATGTGATTTAAATATATAAATAAAAATGGCCAAAACCCTGCTTATAGGCATTTGCAAATGAAAATGGCAACAGAATTAAGTGTCTGCAATTGAGCAAAATGCCCACATACAGTAAATACAGATAAATCATATATTTCTAAAATAAAGATATATATATATATATATATATATATATATATATATATATATATATATATATATATATATATATATATATATATATATATATATATATATATACTGCAATAGCAATCTTAATATCTGGACTGCTAATGCAATGCTAATAGTGAAATGGTAGACTCCATTCACTCCTCCACCTCCCTGACTGGTATGACCCAGTGACACTTCCTGTACTGTTTGAAAGCAGTAACTTTACGTTCATATCCGTGACTTTGGACAGATAAGTCAATTCCTCTACAGGATGGTGATCATAAAGTATACATGCATGTGAATGAGGCTTTATGGACAAGATTTCGTACTGCAAAATACATGAAAATAAAAAATGTTTATATTAGATTCTGGTATTAAATGGGTTAAAGGGTTACTCCAAGCCCGCTGTAGTGGTCATGGTGCTAGGAGTGTCCTGGCCTCGTTTCCCCGCTATTGGGACAAACTGTTTTGTTCGGTTAACCTGCCCGGCGCTGAGGCTGATCTATGGCCAGTGATGTGCTTCTGGCTTCTGCACAGCATCAGGTGATCACTCTCTGGCAAATGGGCTCCTCAATGAGGCTGCTAGAGGTGGAGATAGAAATGTTCAGTATTTTGTAGCCACATGCTGCACATACAGATTTCAAGTACCATGACCACTTCAAATCACTGAAATGGCTATAATACATGGGGTATTCCTATAATGAAGGCGGACGACTTGGTATCTGTACTAAGTACGCACAGCACCGGTATCGTTCGTGCAGTTTTTGCTGGGTCAGGACTGCTGTCACAGGTTTTATTTATTATGTTGAACAGACGCTGGCGGAATGCACCTCATCTATGGATCCAGACACCTGGAACGCCTATCATATTGTCAGCAACCGTGCGCGCTCTGTGTGCTATGCCACTCGCCAACTCCACTTCAGACGCCGCACAGAACTTACGGTCAATACCCTGGTGTCCACCGCCATGAGCCAGCTCGAAGCCATGAAAATACTGAAGGTAATGGTCTAATTAGTGACTCTTCATTAACGGCATCATGCCAGAACTGATTTCTTATAATATTTAGTGAAATTAATTGATGTTTAGTTAAGTGTCTCGATATCTTCCTGATTTCACAGGATGGACAAGAAGAGCTGAAGGAATTGACATCAGAGTCTCTCAAGAAAGTCGTGAGCAGTCAGAATGAGCTGCTAGACCAACAAGAGAAGCTACAGAGCAACCAGGCCACCATGGAGACATCAATCAATGGAAACCTGGAGATGTTGGCAGATGAGAAGGCCCTTATAGCCAGTGGTCATCACTTGGTGGCTCAAATGATTGAAGGCATCACCAAGAAGATGGGTAGGAGCTGGATTTTCATGACCATAATCTTCATGGTTTTTCACATTATTAAGGTGGTGGTGTTGCCAGTTAACTTTAAGTGATAAATTGTATTCTAGAGAACGTGAGCACTCAGCTGGTGGTACAGGACTCGGAGCTTCAGGAAGGCCACAAGGCGATTCTGGCTGATCTGTCAGAGGTCCGGAGTCGATCTCATGAAGTCTACTCCAAAATTGGTAGGTTCAGTGGCCATCATTGCATTAATCAAATTCTCAAAATGAAAATTGGACTCCACGTAACTTAATGTTTTTTTTTTTTTGCTTTTTGTTTTTTGTGATTGTAATTGCATTGTCTCCTAGATCAGTCCTGCTTAAGTAATTCTTCCAGATTTCCTCAATAACTCACTTTTTGGGCAGCACATGGAAAACTCTGCCCTATGGTGTATATAGAATTAAATGATGCACAAGGGGCAACTGCTTAAGTATTTGGGGTCCCACCGCAGTTGCTTCTTGGGGCCCCTTGCAGCTGTTATAGCAGATTAGTGGTCATGGTTTACTCTCGGTTTAGACTTAAATGTCCCTAGCAGGCTGTACGGTCTGTTCTCTCGGTAATTCCAGTGTTTTCTGTGTGCAGAGTTTTCCCGGAAGTGGGACCTCACAGACAGACTTGCTCCAGACCTAAGGCAGTTCCTTAGGATTCCCTCATTAATATTTCTCCCACATGATCAGTTTTACACCAGTATGAGGAATTGATGTCACGGTCTCTCCTGTTCCAAGCTCTGACATTATCTTCTGATCTCCTGCAGAGTCGAACTTGGACCTCTTCCTGTCCCACCAGAGCCAGACGGCACTGTATTATGACGAGCTCATGGAGAAGCTGAACAAGATGAATAAAAGCCTTGGGATGGTTCTCTTTGCTATGGAACACATGCAGCGGAGCGTGGATCAGCGCCTCAGCTATATCCAGACATTCATTGGCTGGGCAGGTACCCACTAGCCGGCAGGCTTTCCCCAAGCACGTTGTAAAACCCCTGTTTGCTTCATATTCTACTGATCGCATTTCCTTCCAGGTGGAAACATTACGGCGATTTACACGTGTGTCCTGCACGGCGCCTATTTCCTGCTCCTTGCACTTCTCATGACTTTCCTGCAGACTCCTGGCTTCTCCCGAGCCGTGCTCCTCCTCCTGATCATCTGCAATGCACTCTCTGAGCTTAACCACCATGTATCCCTCAGCTTCCGTGCTCTGACTGCCGTCCTGGTGTGCACGGTGACTGGTACGTAGGCACGGTCTGTTCCTTTACCTCCAGCCTGCAATGCATCCTGTGGGCAAGCAGGGAGGAGTAGAGACTTCTCAGCCAGTCTTGTTCCCCCATTATTATGGACTTTGGTGCTTATCACACAAACCCATAGCCAGGCATGCACAACCTTGCATAGTTTAAGGGGCTTTGGTAGACATTGGCACATTGCTGCCTCAATCAAATACAGGAAGGTGGGATTCATGGTTGTTGTGTCCCTTTTACGATGCAGCAGGTCTGTTGAACATTTTATCTTTTAATCGAAGATTCTCGTTCCATATTTAAGGTGAATGGAACTCTTTATAAACAGTGTCTCCGTTTTCCCCTCCCGCTAGCTCACTGGATGCTGCTAAACTTTCTCCGCTGCATTGTGAAGTTGAAAAGCAGAAAGACCTGCACCACCCTGCCGCCACCTTGCACTGCTGCCATCACTGCGTCTGGTAAGGAGGATAGCCGCTTCCGCTGCTCCACCCCCGAAAGGTAAACAATCACGCAACTAAAGCAAAGAGTGAACTATATCCAGACACTGCATTCCCAGAAACCATACATCTGCTAGCTCAATGCTCCTTGGGAAATGAGGTATACTGAGCTGGGACAGCGCAGACATGTGTACACAACACACAAGCTCCTCACACCCCATATCCTTATTGTAGTTTAAGCTCAGATCAGTGCCTGCACTCCCCAAAATCTCCACTTCATTTAATTGTGCTCAGTGATAATAATGGATGGTATTTATGATCTATCTCTGGTCATTGCAGGAAATTGGGCTCCTACTGAAAACAGGTAATGGTAGATATGGTGAGAAGTTCTGTAGACTGATGGGAAAGGGCAGTCTGTTTCCTGCCACACACATTGAACAGTCAGTCAAAGAAAGGGTGAGATTTTGGACTGAATCAAGAATCCACCACTGATATTTGTACCTTTATTCTGTCCTCAGGCCTTTAGAGGAATCTCTGCTGAACAAAGAGATGAACAAACTAGTCAATGACAGCTACCTGTTGGGTAAGAATGGTCCTCAAACGGCCAGCGTTTGAGTTAATTTTCCAAATATAATTTTCTACAGGAGAGATACAATGGGAGCAGTTGGTGATGGGATATTAAAGAGGACGTTGCTTAATTTATCTGAATCTGCTTTTCAGACGATTCTCTAATTGATAAGGATGTTTTTGCAAAAGAGGAGTTGATAATTGCATCTCCTACACACCTTGGCTGGAAGAACCACCAAGTGGTAAGAACTCCCAGCCACGCGAGCCCCGCAATGAAACTTCGCCGTCTAAGTCTTACCAACGCCGTCAGAGGTCATGAGACTCCCTCCAAGCAGGTATCAGTCAACAGGGCTGGCACTGGGTTGCTTAATGCCAAGGAGAACAGGCAACCAATCTCAAGTACTGGATTGGATGTCCATGTCTCCTAGAGCCAGGAGAGGGTTTGACTCTGGGTTTTGTAGATCTCATGTCTTCTGTTTTACAAATCTACCATCTCATGCCTGTACAGAAGGCTGATGCATGTAGTCTGTAGGGAAATGGGCTGATATGGATCTTCAGTTTATAAAGAACTTGACCATTAAAAAAAAATTGCTTTACACTCCCGCAGGACAAAGGACACCAGCGTCACCTGAAAGCAGCGTTTGATGCACTGTCTGAATCAAATAATTATAGTCCGAACAATTCTGTGTGCAGCAATGCGTGAGTAATCTAGCTACATGTGTACACAACACACAAGCTCCTCACACCCCATATCCTTATTGTAGTTTAAGCTCAGATCAGTGCCTGCACTCCCCAAAATCTCCACTTCATTTAATTGTGCTCAGTGATAATAATGGATGGTATTTATGATCTATCTCTGGTCACTGCAGAAAATTGGGCTCCTACTGAAAACCAGGTAATGGTAGATATGGTGAGAAGTTCTATAGAAAGGAGAGAATAATCTATTTTATTTTTTGTGGGAAGACTGATGGCAAAGGGCAGTCTGTTTCCTGCCACACACACATTGGACAGTCGGTTGGTTTCCTGCCACACACACATTGGACAGTCGGTTGGTTTCCTGCCACACACACATTGGACAGTCGGTTGGTTTCCTGTCACACACATTGTGTAATATTGAATATACAGGGGTGATGGTGGTGGGATTACCATTGTTCCCCCCACAGTTTGACAAGGCCACGTGTGAATTTTACAGCCAGGCGGTGGTTATTTTCTAATATTTTGGTGACCAATGGCGAGGTTTGGCTTGGGCATTAGATTCTAGGATGTCCCAACATATTCCAGTCTGAGGCCTGACCACAGGAATGATCAGATTAATCTGTATACGGGCATTCTGAGTGTCATTGAATAACCGTGCACCATAATGTAGCACCACCTCTAGGTAAATGGATTGTGAAAGCGAGAATTTAAACCTTTAATCTCACAAACTGTGGAGAATGGAAGGCACCAAACTGAACTTTTTTTTCTTTAAGTGCAAATATTCTGGGCAATTTCTGATGACTAATATAATACATCATATTTTAATTAAAACACTTGGAAATTACCTAGTGACATAATTTGGGTTCTAAAACAATTCTTCTAGATCAGTGGGTCAGGTCTTTCTTTGTTCTGGTCTTGCTGCAGGTCCATCTCCTCCACGTCGTCACGAAATTTCTGCCAAGCCACCACCAGAGCTGGACAGCCATGCCGGAACAAGGCCAACGGTGGACAGGAGTTCTGCCATGTCCATGTATCTGGCCAGACCTCCTACACAACTTGACAAATTCATCATCCATTTCCATTTGGTATCATTGTCTTGGACCATAAGGGGAGGCTCTCAAACGGTCTCTAAACTGATTTATTCTGACCTTCACAAAATGGTAGCTGATTCCACAGGTCGAGGGCAGTATTGATTATCCTATAACAAGTAATAGTTTAGAGGGTTTTATCAATAGTCATTTCCACTGATAATGGCCAGGCATCGACTGAATAGAAGACCAAACCCATGGAAGAAATCTGTTAAAATATTTGGAGAGCGATGTATGCTCTGCAAGTTTACGTGTCAGTCCATCAGTACGGAGGTAAGAATTTGAAAACGTGCCTTATTATTCTGGCAATACGTATGTGGCCAACTCTGACAATGGCTGGGCACTTGCATTATCCCGCAATGCTGTGTGTGTAATTTGACTAAATACATGACTTCATGTTGGAACCAGCTTTAATACATGGTTTGTAGTTACAGAGACCTTGAATGGTCAATATTGCTGCATTAATGTGAGATACTTTTTCTGAATTCCCCGGTAACTGTCCGGGACATGTATTATAATCCTTCATGTCATTATTTTAATTGGATATTATATCCTTGTATTTATTGCCATGTATGTTGTATATTTTTCCAAGCTGTATAGTTATAATAAACTTTTTAAATTATTCTCTCATCTGTAAACATTTTTGGAAACTAAAAGTGAATTTGAAATGGCTGATCTGTTTTAAAGACTTTATCCACACCAATTTTTTTTAATTTTATTTATTGTTCCATTCACAGATTTAGCATTTCATGACAATTAAAGCAAAAAGTATGATCTCAACGGTTAGAACAAGCAATTGACTAGATACAATAAAAGCATCGGGCCTACAGTGAAATTGGTTTTGTGGTAGGTCTAGTTTAGAATGGATAAGTTACAACCAAATCTAAATTAGTGAGGTGGCTGTCCTGTGTGTCTGTCTCCCCCAACTTTATCAGGACTAATAAAAACAAAATTGACAGCAAAAGGGGGGGTAAATGCTGAGTGTAGCTCTGCTGGTGGGAGTTTAACGTCTGGTGAAATCATTATACCATATTTGTACTGCATTGACAGGTTGCGGGTGGGGGGGGAGGTGCATCTATCTGGTGAGAGTGGTGAATGGTCTGTGTGTGGGTATATTCAAACTAGTGCTCATTGAAGCCAAACTAAAACAGAATGGAACAAAGTAAAATTAAGAATTCAAGCCAGGTAATGTAAAGCAAAGTCCCAGATCTGCTTCAGGTGGTGACTGCTGCTTATGTGCCCTGTGCAGGCTGTCTGGTACAAAGTTGGTCGCTGTAGCTGGGTCCCAATGGTGGGTTGTGGATGATGCCAGTTGGGGCGTCTCCGATGCAAGAGTCCCGCGGGAGCACTAGGGTTTCTAGAAGGGCCAATGGTTTTTAGGTCGTGCATTGTGTGCCGAGTCCCCCTGGAGAACTATTGTGCGGTTTAGGTGACATCGGTATTGCAGATAGTGTTTTCTAAAGAGGGTTCTGAACGGTCTCAGAGATTGCCTCCAAGCCAACGTGCTCCCCGATAGGTCCTTGTGAAACGCAAGTGCCTGTCCTTTAAAGGTGTATGGTGTTTTCTCCCGGACCACTGCTAGTACCACTGCTTTATTTTTTGTGTAGTTGGACTACCAAGTCCTTTGATCCCGTAGCAGGGGTTCTCCTCGGTTTGGGAATGCGAAAGCAGCCCACCAGTCCCACCGCTTTAGCCTGGTGTGGATGCAGCAGCGCTTCTAGGAGGCGCCTCAGCATATGCAGCAGTTCTGTCGTCGGCACTTCTTCTGCGATGCCCTGTATCTTGATATGATTTCCGCAGCATATACTCCATGGCTGCTAGTCGCTGGCCCTGCACCTCTTGTTACCTTCTGAGTTTGAGGATCTCCTGCTGCATGGAGGCCAGGCTCTGGGAGTGTTGCCCTGAGGTATTTTCCACTGTTACCAGTCTGCATGTCAGGCCCTAAAGGTTGGATCTCCGAGAAGCCATATCTGCCAGAATGTTAGCATGCAGGTTGGCCAGGAGTGTCTTTTTAGTATAAATTTTTTCTTTATTAAAATAGATTTTCTTTCCATTTCATTGTCAAAAAGATATTCATAAATACGTATACATACATTTGTGGTTACCAATATAAATACAATACTTAACACATACAGAATAGACATAACAAACTTTTAACAATACTTGGATGAAAGAAGAAAAAAACAAAAAACGACCAATATCTTTGCATATGTTAGAGAGAGAAAATGATTGAGTCAATTAAAACGTTCTTTGATCTTAGATATCAGGTTATCAAAGTGATGAATATACTTTCTATCATTATTAAAATATGCAACTCCTCTTTCCATTTCAAGCTGGAACAATAATTGAGTTATAAATTGTTTTCTATCAGGTATAACAGTTTGTTTCCAAGTTCTTGCAATTAATATCTTCACTGCAATAAAAGAATGGATGGTCAATATTGATCTTTCGGGAGTCTATCCCACTTAAGATGGAGTAAACCTATTTGTGGGCATTTTTTTATTTTAATATTATAAGATTCTAGAAAACTGTATATTGAATCCCATAAGGTAGAGATTATTGGGCAACTCCACCAAATGTGTAACATATCTCCATCATGCTTTTGGCATCTCCAACATAAGGAGGAATTAGATGTAGATATTTTAGCTAATCTCGTTGGTACTAAGTACCACCTATGGAAAACTTTAAAAAAAGTTTTGATTAAATTTAAACAATGTATATGTTTTCTTAGTAATTTCATAGATGTGCACCAATCCTTATCGGTTAACATAATGTTGAGATCTTTTTCCCATTGTTTTTTAGCTGTGGGATAAACATCTGAGTAAATTTGTCTAATCAAATCAATTGCAATAGAGCATATTGATTTTGTTTTTTTTCTCAAAAATCTTATAAACCAAATTATTTATACCGCAGTCCTTTCTTAACGAAGAATCATTTAGAAATCCTCTTACACTCATGTAAGAAAAGATCTCTGTATCGGAAAGATTCAATTTAGATTTAAAATTATTAAATGGCAACAAGTTATTATTTTGAAGGAGATCTTTAATATAAATCTCTCTTTCAGATCTCCAT